ATGCCTCTGAGTCGGTCTCCAAGACCACATCTTCGACGTATAGCGTGAGAAGAGCTAACACTCCATGCTTGTAGTAGACGTAAAGACACGGCTCAGTATCACTTCTTTAAAACTCTTGTGTGACCAACTATCGATTAATTTCTTCATTCCATTCGGCTTCTGATTAATGCAATCCATAGAGTGCTCTATCCACACGGTATATTGTTCCTTTACGTTGAGGGAATCTGGTGTATTTCGAACATACTGCTTGATCTTCAGATTTGCATTTAAGTATGCGGTGTCCACATATCCCTGATGTAACACCATTCCAAGCTTTGTAGCTAGCGCCACCAACACTCGGAAGGTAACATTCCGTGCCACGGGCGAAAAAGATTCCATGTAGTTAATTCGTGGCTGTTGGTGGTTCCCTTATCCCCTAACCTAGGACGAAAACGTGTTATATACCCTTGATCATCAGTTTTTACTTAAAAGTTCCACATCAATCCCAATTTGTTTGTGTTGTTCGGTGCCTTTATGCATCAATTGGAACTAGTACCTCCTTGAAGAAATTAGCGTTCACCTCATTCTTCATACCAGCATACTCTTGTCCTTTTGGGGCGTCTTCTTCGCTTCAGTGAAGCTCTTTTGAATCTTTGTATCATTCGCTCGCCATCGATGTTCAGCTGCTATGCTGTTGCTGTTATCTTGGATCGTAGCGTTTACTAGGTATCCTTCAAGCCATGACGGGTATCGGCGCTCTGCCGAATGGCGCAAGACCATTTCAGTGGCCTGCCGTCATTATCTCGCCGTCTTTTCATCTCTTGTACATCTTCAAGCTCCGCATCCAGTCCTTTCCTACGTTCTCCAGTCATAATTTCAGGAATCATGCATGTGTCCATCAATTCATAAGCGGACTCACGCGTCATCTCATCCATGTTTCAACAAACTGTAGCATCGGTAAAAATCTGTTTTTCATTCTGCATTGCATCTTGCTGATCGTACTCAACTACACATGTGTCATAGGGGTAGCCCCTTTCTTAATCCTCGCTGCTTCCATGTTCGGATGTCTCGGAATGATCTTCCAACACAAAAGCCACATCTTCCAGATCATCTTCGCCACGTTCGCCAGCTGATTACATGTCATCACCTTCTTGTTTCGTTTCCTCCTCGAAGCTGAAGGTCTTCCTTGTACGGTTGTCATTCTCTGTATGTGTGTCGAGCGTATTACTGTCAACATCAGTCCTGTCCCTTTTATCCGCATTTCAGCTTACAGTATCCACATCATAGAGTTCAAAATCCGGTACTGGCTTGCTGTCATAGTCAAGTGGAATCGACTCGCAGTCTGACGCCATACTCGCGTTATCGCTTTCAACTTCCATACTGTCATCAGCATCTTCATTACGTGACAACCAATCCGAGACGACTACATCAAATCCTTCGTTATAACGGTCACCGTAGACAATATCCTCGTTAATCGAAGCATCTAACACGTGTTGAACCACATGTTCAGCTGGAAAATAAGCTTTAAAGCCTGCTTGTCCTTCATGTAACTTGAAAGAAACCCAATTCTACAGTTATCATCCAACTTCTTTTTAGATGGTCAATTTGCTTGATGAAGATAAGTGATTGATCCAAACTTCTTGATTCCATGTAAGTTTCTATTTTGTTCATCATCATTCTGTATGGTGTGTCTTTGGTCGATCGACGGTAGGCCCAGCTCCTCAAGTAAGTTGCCATTTTAAGAGCATGCATCCAAAACCATCTCGGTAGCCGTGCATCAGCCATCATTGCCTCTACCATGTGAATTAGAGTCTGGTGTGCCCTTTCACACAGATTTGAGTGTACTCCATGAGAGGGGTTTGGTAAAAACTCAATTCCAAGAGTTTGTAACACGTTGTCATTTCCACGTTCACAAATTTCCCGCCGCCGTCGAAGATCCCTTTCTTGACTTTACAGTCGGGAAATTGTCGCTCTGTCCAAGAGGTGTACCGCTCAATCGCTTCGTTGAATTTCGATGCATTCTTCGAGTAAAGTGGGTGAACTGTGGTATGACGTAAATATCCATTCACCATAACAAGTACCGCTTTGTATGCTCTTGAACTTGAGCAGTACTTTGGAAAAAGTAAATCCACAAATATTACCTGATTCTTCTTCGTGAGATCCGCTCCAAATTTTCAGACGCGTCTTCTGTATGTCTTTTCCAATGTGGCATGCTTCACAGTCATCAAATTTTTTGTGCTTAGTGACATTCTGTCCACTAGCTTGCAATCTGCCATGATCTTCACGTACTGAGGGTTTAGATTACCAAGCCTTTCATGCCAACGCTGGGTATCAGCTTGCCCTTCTGCACGCGTATGATTCACTTGATGTAGGAGGCCCTTATCTTGGCGTAGCGCCTCACCCCCGGCACTCATCGTCGGGTGAAAAGTGTTCATTGCTTGAAATGTAAAGAGACCACATTCGTCTCTGTCAATCTTCAGAAATTTGTGATTTTTTTTGCCAAAGCTCATAGACCTTTTACCCATTCGGCTGCAATAAGTCACTGTGATATATTGGTCCTCGGCTTGCGTATGCGAGATCAAACTCATACTGTCAGGAACATGCAACACGTCATACAGCGTTACTTCGTTGATATTTGACCAATTTTGAACAAGTATCTGAACAATTCCTTGGCCTATCGGCTTGGTCGTAAATTGTTTTTGAAATCCTCGCACACTTTGGACTTGTGTATCGTGGTTAAATGCTTCATAATCAACTAAATACCGCAAAATGGAAGCAACGTGCACATTTGACGCATTGTCAATACACCCTTGTCGGTGGGTACGGTCATTGATATATGCTTTTGCTCACGGGAGCATCGGATCCTGGCGGTTGATCGTTTTCTGACTTCACGGCATCCATCTTCTCTTGATGCATGTCACGAGACTCATCCTTTGGATGCTTTGCGAACGCCACCTTCTGGTCACTTGTTCCTAGTTTCCTCATCACTGAACAGTCTCTCATGCGGTGTCCGGGCTTGTGACAATTAAAGCAGGTTCCATGCTGCTTATCTGTCTTTACGGAAGTCCTCTGGGGAATTCTATCGGTCGAGTTGAGTCCTTTACCACCGATTTGTGATCATGCACTGCTAAAAGCATGCCCTTTCTTGGACGATTGACTGTCTCCATAGTCCTGGACATTCCCAATGACACCATGAGTGCTAAGGTCCCGATCACACTTGTTAAAACTATCCATTCGCAATATCTGATCTTTCAATTTCTGGAGTGTCAACCTTGTCGTCACCGCTTTCAACCATGCCTCTCAGTCGATCAAATCGCGCATTTGCCGGTAACGACCGAATTAACATATGTGTGAAAATTGGGGTTCGTACACTTGCGTCCACAGCAGTCAGTTGATCTTTAATCATAAACATGTTTTACACGTACTGCGCGACACCCCAATTAGGTTTGCACTTCATTGTGTTTAGCTTAGTGTAAATTCCAATCTCTTGGTTTGTTCTTGTTGCCTCATTGGTCTTTCCCTCATAAACGTCTTTTAAGTATTTTCAGAAAATGTGTAAGTATTCACATTTTCGGTCCCAGTTGCTTTTGTCATCACTCGCTGGTCCATCTCCATCAAAAGAAGAGCAAGAACTATTTGCTTAATCGTTACTTGAGCTTCTCGAAATGCTTTCACTTCATTAAAACTTTCGTTGACTGCGAGAACCTTGTCCCCAGTAGCATATTCCAACACATTATTCTCCTCAAAAGTCAGTTTCATCATTCCCTTGAAGTACGCCCAGGACTGGCCATGCCAACCCACAGGTCGTTCATATTTGTTCAGCCTTACATTGTTAGACATGTTGTCTGTCAAAATACTCAGGTAGAGTGTTCGCCTTTTGACTTCTGTCACAGGCCAACTCAACGTTTTACCGTTCGTGCTCACAGACAAACGGAGTCTTTCTTCGCATACATATTCACAGTCGTTGATTGTAATTGTGTTATCGTTTCTTGGTTACGCTTAAGTCTCGTCCAGACTTGGGCTCATAACCCTGATGCAATCTCTCTAGCGCTAAGCTTTTAGCTAGTTCTGTGTTCCTGATAACATCAGATGTATACACCTTAACACACAATGATATATATCACTTAGCTTAGCTCTTTCTGGCTAAAGACGACTTGCCTGGCACTTTGCCCTTTTTTGACTGAGCTATTCCTGCACGCGGTTGCAGCTAACCTGCTAATCGTTACCTTCGTCTATCGACTCGTCCCATTCTGATATCCGTCGTCTCCCTTATCCCTCGTTTCACTTGACGGACGGTAAGCGTACTTTAGACGTCCAACGGCTTCAAGCTGAAAACATATTACAACAGTACTTGTCACCGGTCCAAGACTGCGAAACTTTCCAAGAAGTTAGCTGGCCGTGAGTTGGCGTTCGACGGACCAGGTTAAACCCGTAGTGTTGGTGTAACGTCTTAGCAGGGCTGGCAACAGTTGTGATGATGGGTTGTAGGGTCCAAATACTGGCATTTAGTCCTCGTTGCGTGTGAAGCACGTGGACGACGCAGTGGGCGTTTATGTGACGTAGTACAGCAACGCAATTCTGAAGACTAGAAATGACACAGCACTTCATTTCACGTTCACTTTACTAATATGGATAGGGATGTTCTAGGATACACTTGTCGAGGAGACGGATGAATGGATTCTGTCATTGTCTTAGTTTATTCGTTTCTTGCTACCGTGATTGACTAGTTGTTCTTTTCTCCATCACTCCTATCCACTCAATCAATCATCCACTATGCTGTCCACTCAATCCCTAATCTTCCTACATCTCTCTAAGTCATCAGCCGTTTCTTCAGCCGCTACTTCAACCGTTACTTCAAACTACTTGCATGCTGTATGCTTCTCTCCAACTTCGACACTGCGCTAATCGACTCTCTATGCCATCAAAAAACATGTGCTGGCCGTGTTGACGCCGGCTCTCACTGGCTCTATCATTTCTAACACTCCTCCTCGAGTGCGCCTGTGTCGTCAACATCTTTTCGTCTACGCCACACCGAGGAGCTTTCTCATCGCCGCGAGCTTTGGCGCGTCGAGGGCTTTTGTCAGTGCGTCGGCAAGCTGTTCGTCTGTGTGGACGTATTGAGCCTTGATCACGCCACGACGCACGAAATCGCACACAAACTTGACTCGCACGTCGATGTGCTTTGCCTTCATCGATGTCGCTTCGCCGTCGAGCTGTCGTATCGCTGCTTGGTTGTCAACATGAAATGTCATGGGCAGCTCAGGTGCCATGCCCACCTCACCGAGCATCTCTCGAATGCCGAGAAGTTCTCGTGCAGTCTCCGACGCGGCCACAAACTCGGCCTCCATGGTCGAGAGTGTCACGCCGCCTTGCTTGCGCGACGCCCAGCTGACAGCCATGCCGTTCACGAGCACGACACTGCCAGTTAGGGACTTGCGGTCGCTCTTGTCCGCGGCGTAATTAGCGTCGCTGTACGCCTCGAGCGTAATTGGAGAGCTCGCGTCATGCACTGGAGTCATGATCATCTTCAAGGCAGTTGTGCCCTTGAGATAGCGAGCAATACGCTTCGCCAACTTCCAGTCCTTGAGCCGAGGTGCGTGCGTCTGTCGAGTTGCTTTATGCACCGCAAACGCGACATCTGGACGCGTGCAACGTGCTATCCAAAGCAAACTGCCGACGAGCGACTGGAACGACTTCACTGTTGGCTCTCCAGACGACGACAAGACCTTAAGCATCTTCATGTCGCCTTCGTCGGCGTTGTAGCAGTCGGCACTAATTGGTGCGCGCGTCGGGTTCGCCGCCTCGAGGCCGTGCTCGCGCAGCAGGTCCTTGATCGATCCCTCTTGATCAAGCGTGTAGCTTGAGCCGTCACGCGTGACGCGCATTCCCATAAACTTGCTTACTTCGCCGAGATCCTTAATCGCGAGTGTCGATAAGCTCACAAAGAAGCGATCGACAACTGCAGTGCTGGTGCCGGTCACGAGGAGATCGTCGACGTATGCTCCTACGACGACGAGCTCGGCGCCTTCATTCTTCCAGTACAAACACATGTCCGAGCAACAACGTAGGAAACCGGCATCGGTGAGGCTTGAGTGTAGCAACTGGCTCCACAGGCGTCCCGCCTGCTTTAACCCATATAAGCTCTTCCTGAGCTGCAACACGACACCGTTCTTGTCCTTTGCTCCTAATTGCTGCAACGTCGTGTCGTTCACCTCCATGCCGCGTGGTACTTGAAGCAGGATCTCGAGGTTCGCTTCCTTATTTGCGCGAACGTAGGCATTTGGAATGTCCCCGTGTTTGGCTGGCACGTTCCATGTTGCTGCAAGCGCGATAATAACCTTCACGGTCGACATGTCCATGACGGCCGCGAAGGTGAGCTGGTAGTCGATGCCGAACACCTGTTCATTGCCACATGCGACCAGTCGAGCCTTGTAGCGCTCCAGGTCGCCATGTGCGTCGGTTTTTGTTTTGTAAACCCACTTGCTATGCAGCGCGTTGCTACCGGCAGGGCGCTTAATCACACGCCACACATCGTTCGCTTCGAGCGCTGCGATTTCTTCACGCATCGCTTTTTCCCAGTCGGGACGCTTCGTGCTCCGCATTGCCTCGCTGTAGTTGGTCGGATCACGTTCGTACAGGTGAGCGGCGATGTCGATCGCGCTTGCAGGCTCCTCCTGAGCTGCAGACACTTGAGCACGCTTCGATGCGCTTCGTGTGCCGTGTGCTGTGCGCGTCCACTGCTTCTTCTTCTTCGTAGCATCCTTCGGTGCTTGCGCAATCGCACGTTCGTCCTTATCTGCGTCATCGAGTACGCGCTGCAACCGATCGTTCTGCTCGTCACTGAGCGTTTCAATGTTCTTCACGTGTTGTTTGACGACGACGACGTTGTCTTTCTTCAAAAACACGCGGTACACCTTAGTTTTGTCGCTACGACCGACGATCACTCCCACTTGCGCTCGTTGCTTGAGCGAGTTCTTGCGTGGATCGCGATACACCGTGCAGATCGACCCGAACGCAACGATCTCGCGCAGGTCTGGTGTCTGCTTCGTCAGCATCTGTAGTGGCGACGCGCGGCGTGCATTCGCACTGGTTGGACTTCTATTCAGAACGAATGCAGCGTATTCGACGGCATCTCCCCAGAAATACAGCGGCAAGCGGCTTGCAAAAATCATCGACCGCGCCATGTTAAGCACAGTGCGATGCATTCGCTCCGCCTTTCCGTTTGAAGCCTGGTTGCGAGCTTCACTCTTCTGTCGCTCGACGCCTGCTGCCTTGCAAAACAGATCGACGTTCATGTACTCGCCGCCTCCATCTGTGCGAAGTACATGGATTCGGCAGTCGAAACGCTTTTCGAACCACGCAAGGAAGTGTTCGAACTTCTTGGCGGCCTTGTCCTTGGTAGACGCGAGAAAAACGAGGCAGTAGTTGCTGTAATGATCGATGAAGTTGACCATATAACGGTTCTTCAGGCGGTCGGCGGGGGTCATCGGTCCTTTGCGATTCGAACAGATGACACCGCCGATACGATCGATCGGGCTGTGCCTGCCGCTGTCTTTCCGCGATTGTGCATTTCGTGTTTGCTTCGCCTCAGCACAGGTGATGCACGTGAGCCGTTTACGGTCGGTGAGCTCGATGCCGCTTGCCGGATCCTGCGCCATTCGCTCGATGGTGTCGAGAGCAATATGACCGAGTCGTTCGTGAAAGTGCATTAGTGTCCCGCTTTGCACATCCTGTCGCACGGGCACCGTCACTTCTTCGGTGATCGCCGCCAGTAACACATCTGTAGGCGACTGCTTGCGTCCCGTTTCTGGCGACGTTGCCACGTAGAATACGTTGTTGCGCATCTGCACGTCAAACGCTACGTCGCCTGTGTCTTGGTTGGCGAGTGATAGCTGCTGGTCGTCGTGCACGAGACTGTACCCTTTCTTCACGAGCTTGCCGCATGACAGGATGTTGCGAGCGAGCAGCGGCGCGAAGAAGACGTCTGTTACGCGAATCATACGGGGCTGCTGGTCGACAAACACGCGAATATCCACACTACCGACAAGCGATAGGCGCAACGGCTCACCATCTGCGACAATGCACTCTTGGTCACATCGCTTTGCGTTAATCAGCAGTCGATCGTCGTTGACAATGTGTCGGCTGGATCCACTATCCAGGATCCACACGCTGTTGTCACTGCTCGGGTCTTCGTCGATCGATAGAGTGAGGTTCGCACCATCGGTGCGACTTCCACTGGGTCTTCCAGGTCGGCTTCTTCTCTTTTCTTCGGCAGTCGCGATTTAGATGGCCGACTTTACCACATCCGTGGCAAGTGCGCGTCTCCTTTCGTGGCTCGTCATCGGCCACGTGCGACACGACGTCACGACCAAATGAGCGACTTAAACGCGCATCGAGCTCGATCGATTGGGCAAAGTGAGCGAGTTCTTCTGCATGCGCGAGGTGGTCGGCGCGCGAGGTGTCGTACTTTGCCATGAGGACAGTGGACAGTTCGGCCGATGCATATCGCACGATGTTGTCCAGCACGTTCGAATCGGCACCTCCGCAAGCGTCGCTCACCGCCACGAGATAAAGATAGTGTTCTGGCCACGTTCGCTTCGAGTCCTTTTTCGCTGTAAACAGCCTCATGGCCTGCGACGCTGTGATCGTTGTACGGAATGTCTGGAGCATCTTTTCCATGACGAACTGCAGTGTCGGCAGCACCGACCACCAAGCGTCAATCTGCTTGTTAAAATAACGTTCTGCAGTACCCGAGAGATACTGCCCGAGGACGTCAGTCTTGGTATCTTTGGTCCATAGGAAGCCGCACGCTGCTTGAGCCATGTCGACTTGTCGCCAAAACGACTTACCCCAATCGAAGAAGTTTGAGCCTAGACCTTGGTAGAGCTCGCTGCCATCAAACTTCCGGATGGCGAGCTTGCGCTGTCGAGCATCAGGCACACGGTACTTCCCCACAGGCACGTAAGCAGCAGCTGGAGGTAGCGCTGCTGCTGGTCCCACTTGAGGAGCTTGTGGCTGCCCGAGCGGAGGCGTGTACTGCGGCATAAGCGGCGCACCGCGCGAACCGGGGTACGGGCCATGTGGCGACGAGGCATTGCGCACTGCCGGCGCAAATCCGAGAGCGTCTCGCGTCATCGTTTCTCGCCCAAAGTCACGCCCGAGCGCGGAGCTGAACATCCTACTCTCAATCGCGCCGCGCATGCGCTCGTCTTCTTCAGTCTTGATCTGCGAAGCCTCCATGCGCATCACACGCTCTTCCAGACCGAGAAGCGCGTTGAGAATCCGTTTGTTGACATCTTCGCTGCCCCTTTCGCGAGCAGCTGTTGCGACGTCTTCAGCAAATGCAGGAGCGGCCCTTTCGCGGTCGTCGTGCTCCTGAGCCAGGGTGAAGTTGTCGTTGATGTTGTCAGTGTTCATCGTGTTGGAACTTGGGCTCATAACCTGTTCTAGGATACACTTGTCGAGGAGACGGATGAATGGATTCTGTCATTGTCTTAGTTTATTCGTTTCTTGCTACCGTGATTGACTAGTTGTTCTTTTCTCCATCACTCCTATCCACTCAATCAATCATCCACTATGCTGTCCACTCAATCACTAATCTTCCTACATCTCTCTAAGTCATCAGCCGTTTCTTCAGCCGCTACTTCAACCGTTACTTCAAACTACTTGCATGCTGTATGCTTCTCTCCAACTTCGACACTGCGCTAATCGACTCTCTATGCCATCAAAAAACATGTGCTGGCCGTGTTGACGCCGGCTCTCACTGGCTCTATCATTTCTAACAAGGGAAGCAAGTCATCTCTTAACAACCGACTCAGCCAAAACGGGGACGCCATAACTTTCGTCCTGTATTGGATCAGTCAGTTCTTGATGGTGGCACTGAATTTTGCGTCGCTAACTTCATGCATATTCAACGACTGTTTACACGTAGACGCGTACTTCAACAATGTAAACTGCATGAAAAAAAGACGTCGGTATGATGGTGCTTGCACCCGTTCATCATCGACCGGCATCCCTGTAGTTAGCCTGATTTCAGTGCATGACATTCGGTGTCAGTGAGCCATGTATACATGATACAGAGCTGTGGAACAAAGGTAACCTGTTCGAAAATGCTGTGACGGTGTGGCTATCCGCCGCATATCGCTTGTTGGAACCGCCGCATTGTACCAACCAGCCTTGACGAAGACAACGGCACCAGCATCTAGCATGCGCATCTGGCCTAACCGGTCCTTTTCGTGTTGACCGTAGGAAAAAGATGACACTGTTTCTCGACCTCCGGTCGACAAAAGCATTGCATAGCTCACGCTAATTAAGGAACACACGATTTACAGATCCTTACAGTGACACCACGTGGATGGTCTGAGCCACAGCGACTTCGTTCGATTGATTGCGAGTAAGATATGACAAAGGACGATGTCGGTAGAAGATCACCTTGCAAATAGCTTCCATGTAGAGGCAATTTACACGTGTAGATCAGCACGAAATCTCCACAAAACCGCTAGTGAGGAGGCAAGGCTCCAAACGGCCTTGGCTGTTAGAAGTGCGGATCAGTACTCTAGCTACACTGGGAAGGCCTCATCTCTCAGCGGCCAATTTTGTGAGGTGATGGGGTTTTGTTGGAGTGAATCTCCCCCTCCCCAACACTGCTACCGTCGAAAGCAATTTCTCCGTCTTGGAATGAAGAAGGACCCACACTCATTAAAATGCCTTCACTACAAAGGGATTATGCACTCTTGACAGGTTCGTTGTTTGCCTAAACGTAAGCGATAAAGCGCGGTAAGGCAAATGCTGCAACGGCACAATCAACACATCTTCAAATAAGGTTAATCCATGCGGCTTTGCTGCTGTGATCGAGCTTTGCGGTTGATCATTTGAGTTTTTGTTCATGCGAGAACGGTACCCACATGAACGTAGGACTCATGTTCAGTAATGTAGAGTTCAACGAGCGCATTCGAAAGACTGCGGTAGTTTGCGGAAATGCATCTTTTGTCAAAGTATTCTCCAGTGCGACGTCGAAAACCTGATTCGTGCTTCAGCGTATGCATTGCAATTGCTTCTTGGAGGCCCAACCAAGAATCCGGCCAGTTCTCAAAGAGTGGATTGTGCTAACGATTGAGCATCCGTGGTTTCCATTGCCAATGTATACTGCTATTTGCGGCAATTGGGTTCGAGCCTATAAGTCATACGGTTTACAGCTCACCATAGTGATAAACGGTGACGGCAAAGTCATAGTGGCGCACGTTTGAGGACCACTTTGCGCTACTCGTCTTGTTCTTTTCGACCATGCACTCGACCTCTGCGTATCCGGCAAGCGTGCTTGTCACATGACGCAACATCCTTTCTCTCCATCCTTTAGACTGGCGTTGTCACCATCTTCGTCGCTCTCTGCCTTGTCATCGGTCTCTACATGCGTATTGCCTTCACTTTCATCGTTGGTCTCCTGAGCACCTGCTCGCTGCTTCTTAATTACCTTCCGCAACCGCTCTACGTCTTGCATAGTAAGTACCGTGCTGTTGCGCAGCACAAGGTAGTCGTCGAAGCCAAACGTTTTGCAGCACAATTCTAGCTTGCGTTGCTCGCCATCGTGCTCATCCATTCCCAACAGTTCACCCATTGTGCTCTGCATGAAGTATGGCTGGTTACCGACGACCTCAATTTGTGCATGCAAAGCTCGCGTTAACCAAACCAACTCCGTCACATCGGGCACACTCGGTTCGCCATTGCGAAACGTCACAGCAGACGGGTATAGCGTCTCGCCCTTAACGTTCGCAATTGGCAGTGAGTATTTCGTAATCATATCCAAGTCGTCAAATGGCATAGAGGTCTGCGGACCGAACAGGATCGTCATCTCCTTAGCACCCCATACGATCTTTTGGTCCCCAGCGCCACTAGTGGCGCTTCCAGGTGGAGTGCAACTCACTTTGTGATCTTTCCAGTGGTCACGCTGGCACGCTGCATCGCAGTAAAAGGTACATTTGCAACGTGTGCAGCGCTTGAGCTCCTTGCCAGGGGCAGCGCGTTTGTCGCACTTTGCACATCGACGCAGCTCCGAGTTTCCCATTAACGCTAGTCGCTCGCCAGGAGGAAGCACTCGACGCTCCAGATCTGCACGCGTGTAAAATAATGCCATACCACGAATGTGGTCGCCCCCCTCACCGCTTGGACCACTGCCCGTGTGCGTGCTAATGACTGACGAGAACACGGTGCCTCTACCAACGTGATTGCGGGCATCCAGCCGCAGTTCCTCGTCACCCACGGCATCAATCTGAATAGCTTGACGCTCAGCAAGACGATCCCACGGCTCCAGTTTTGCGTACTGCTCGCAGGCTGAGTAGAGAGCAGTCAGCGCTTCCGGAGTCACGCCAGAACCTGAGATCAGCCCAGGCCGCTCACCGACTTCTGCCACGGATGCGAGGTCGTTTCGAATCAAGTGTTGCGATAACTCCCTGTCAACAAGAGAAACATCAGAAACCCGACCTCTTTATACACACCAATGCCAACCAATAACTCACTGAATATAGGCGTCAATGCCGTCCGACTCGGACAAGTACGAACATTCAATCCCCAACGCCGAGAAGCTCTTCCGCAGCTGTCCCACGTAGTGCTTATCGGGAAACACAATTTTGTCCGGACGGTGCTGTGGTGTGCCTGTCGGTGGGTCCACCATAGCGTGCAGCGTCAGATCGAGCACCGTCTGCGGTGACGGGTACACTTCCGGCGGGTCACAGATCTTCTTCGACACGACTTGACCCAGCGGGTACAAGTTGTTCACCAGCACACAGTATGGCCGACAAGGTACTGCATCTCGTCCTGCTTCAGCTCCAGTACTCGAGGCCGACCAGACCCGAAGCTTCCGCACGACAACCTGCCACACCTCAAGCTGTTTCTTCTCCAGCTTCCGGTACCGTTCCACTTGCTTGGACGTCACCAGTGTCTCGGTACTAATGACAATGTCGGCTACAAAACCGATCGAGCAGAACAAAACAAGAAGAGCGTCAAACACTTGAAAACTGTCCACTACTATAACGAATTGTACTCCACCATCGCCTTCGACGTCGAACTGCGTAGGTACGCGCGGTACATCTTCCGTATCGGAATCCGAGTCGTCCTGTACGTACAAATGCGTCAAAGTTTTAGAAATTTTGTCAGCGACACAAACTAATGATTTACAAAACTAGACAGGACTAAAAAACATTATGCAAACGACTAAAACTAGAAAAGGCAAAATAAGAGTTGAGAGCTGCAGATACAAGAGGTACTAGACAATAAAGCCGTTGCAATAAAAGGAGACGTAAGCACACCTGGAAGGCATTCCACTTTGCGTACTTCTTGGTCAAGAACTCCTCCGTCGACGTCATGAGTTACAATATCCACAGTATAAGCACGATCACCTCGAATCGAGAAATAGCGAAAGAAATAGGTATTACGAAATTTAGTCGTATACAATTTCGCTAGGTACGAGCGAAAAAAGTATCCTCTCTGAGTCTGTCACAATAGCGCCGACTCAGATCTGAGGCACCACGGAACGACGCACGTGATTCGTCCATTCTCGGTTTGAGTGCCAAGCAAATGCAGAGTCGACTTGACGCGCTCCAGACGCAGCGTCACGAGCTGCTAGCGGCGTTTACAGCCGCAAGCGACCGCGATACGAAGCAGAACATTGTGCAGCAGCTGCTTCATCTTTCGGAGGAGCTGGAGCTCGTTTCTGCGGCTCTTGTGCCGTCTCTAGGGACCGCTACGCTGTCTGTGGACTTTTACGCGAGCTATTTGGTGCTTGTCTTGCTCTCGAAAGACCTGAATGATGCGCGATTTCTGTGGAAACGCATAAGAATCGAGATGAAAGAGGCATCTGAAGAGCTCCGGAACGTCTGGGCGATTGGCAGGGCACTGTGGCAGCGGTGAGACGAGGCGCAGTGTGTAGGATGTTAGCATATGCGAGAAGCTCTTGAGACTAACACTGGTGTTCTGTCACAGAGACTTGGCGGCAGCGTTTGCTGCGATGGATTATGACTGGTCGCCGTTGCTGCAAGGACTGGTGGAGGCGCTCAAGAGTCTGTTGCTCTTTCGTGGACATGATGGACGATTGACTGTGCCCCTATAATGGCTGACGATCACTTGACTTGGTTGCTGCGTGATGGGGCAGTTTCGACGCGTGAGGCCACTGCAGAGCTGCTGAGTCGTGCGTACTCGACTATTCCTGTGAGCGACGTGGCACTGGCTATGGGATTTGCTCGACACGAAGACGCCGTGCAGTGTGAGAGCTCTTTTGTTTAACTGCCTGCCGTGTTGGAGCTGGTTGCCGATCTGACTGGCTTGATTTGTGCTGCGCGACTTGGTTGTGGTAGATTGTTTGTCGATGGATTGGACTGTGTCTGAAGCAGACCAATGGGTCTTGCCGAAACCGCTGGCGAATACGCGACGTGGCCCTTCGACTGGCGTCGACATGGCTCAACTCGACACGTTGTCAAAGACGGTGTTGCATCTGGAACAAAACACAGTGGCCATGTTGCAGTGATGTAGATACAGCAGGGTACTTCCGCCATGCACGACGTCGTCTGGGGCGTGTGGGGCCAAGTCAATGCAATTGTTGCCGACAGCTTTTCGCTGAGTCGTTGAGTTATTCGGGTGTGCTGTTGATCGTGGAGTAGATCCAGTGATCCCGTTGCAGGACTGCGAGGTGTAAGCTACCATTGTAAGCTGCTAGCAGAGGAGCGTACAACAAAAGTATAAGTAGTGGCTGGCTAGCAGGGGGCGATGAAGCACTCATCCAGTCATCGTCCGGTTTGCTTTCTGCAGTATTCGTAATAGTATGCTGATGGGTTTTGCGTGCTCTAGCACGAAGTCATTGCTGTACCGAGCACAGCTCCAAACTTGGTCGGAAACGCATCATTGCAGGGCTACCAGTGTCGCGCAACGAATGCAGGTTGGCACGATGTCAAAACAGCTCTACTTGGGAGATGATGAAGCGTTATAGAAGAAGACAGAAGTGCGTACAGAAGCATGTGCTGCGAACGGTCAAGAAAGCAGAGCATTAACAGTGAGCAACATTGAAACGATCACATGATGTCATGGAATCGGAGCACCCAAAAGACCAGTCAATGAAGGCAGCGTGCTAGCGCTACAACACTTCTGAAATGCTCCTGAAGCGTGCCTACCGGATCCAGAATGACAGCAATCTTAGGCATCGTCAGAAAGATGTACTCGCCTACACTGTATGAATTTCTCAGCCATGTTACTAAGACGAAGCCGTGTCGGTTGCACGTTTCTTGTCCCAGGCAACCACATCGACGTAGCGAATGTCGCCACCAAAGATGTCAAGCGCACTTCCAATTGACAGGTCCACCTACAAATTGGTTCACGAAGGTGAGATGAAGATCTGGCAATCAAACAAGCAGCACGATAGTTGTCATAGTTCGTTTCAAATACCTTGCCATTGCCGATAAGGTCCACAAAATCCAGATCATCCTGAAGACAGCAAGATACAGACACTCTCGAATATAGGTCATGCGGCTTTTTATTCGGATTGAAATGCACGTCTGCGTACCAAGGAGCTAGCACCACCAGCGTATGTAATGGGGAGGGTCTTCCACTGCGCCAGCAGTTCCACAAGCTCTTGCTACAAGATGAAAAGACAGCACACCAGGATATCATCGACTTCGCCTCTTCGTCACGTATGAATACGCCTGACAGTACCTGAATGCCGCACCGCTTGCCTTCGACGTCCACAGCATGCACTAGAAACTCGTCGCAATATTCAGCAAGGCGGTGAAACAGTGCTTCACTACAGCCATAGCAAGCAATCAAAAGAGAGACGCGTCAGCTTTGACACCGCACAATCTCTATCGCTATGACTAGACGTACTCGATAGACGTCGTCGTGAACTTCTGCCAGCGATCAGTCATGACGTAGAACTTGTTATCCTCTTCCCTCTTGCGACAGCTCAAGTCCAGTACCAAATGTTCCTTGCCGAGAAGTTGCTTGAGTTTCTCCAGCCGATCAAAGTCGATCTGGCCATCACGAAACACGTAGGACGTGACGATCACGTGACTCGCACCCTTTTCCACGAAAAACTGGCAATTGTCCGCAGTGATGCCTCCTAGGTGTAATAAAAGCATTCAGTACTTTGCCAGTCGATTAAAAATTCACGACTGACTACGTCAACAGCTTCAGATCCAGAAACTGACCGCCCACTTGGAGTCCTCCTGGATAGGCTTGCAGCGCCTCTAAAGCTGCCTTCGTATTGGCTTCGGACGTGCCCAGCATAATCACATGACCTCCTACAAGTCCGTCTCTCTTGTACATCCTATTTAGCAGCCACCGAGACACATCATTGACAGCAAAGGGTACGACCAGAATAGATCCTCAGAACAAATGGCTACAGTGCCCGACTTCTAAATGGATTCGAGCCACGCACCGCGCAAAGTCTCCAGCACTCTGAGAAGACACAAAGTTCGTCACGGGCCCTTTGCCAGTCTCGTCTGTGAGCGTCGAGCCCACGATCTGCTTCACCTCGCCAGCGTGGATGTCAATGCATGGACGGAAGCGCATGGTCAGCGCTGTTTTCCGAATAGTGACATCAGATGGCTACAGGACGATGTAATCATGTTGCTGACGAGCAAAAACGGACTGATCGAAATGTACACGTTTTAGGGTACAGAACCCTCTCTCTTACCTATGACGTATCGCAGGTGGTGCGTGTATTTTTCATGTGATTTTTTGGGATAATTGGGGCAGCTATTACGTTCGCTTGCGGAGCTATTATGCAAATAGCTCCGAGCGTCTCCCCTTTACGTCCCCTTTTGCGATGTATCGTATTATGAAAGCAGCTTTATTCGAAGATTGTTAGAAATGTGCACTTGCGTTAGAAATGTGAACTTGTGTTAGAAATGTGCACTTGTGCTGCACGAGGTCGATCATGTCTGACCTTACATTATTGAATTGCATGGTAATACTGTCCAACTCGGTAGTCAACTTGACTGTCACCGCCGTATCAGCTGTAGCTGTAGCTGTAGCACTTCTTTGCTGCGTGTCGAATCGTGATCCTTTCGAATAAGAAGAAGCAGAGAGAGCCGGAGACTTTCGCTGACGTCCGAATCTCCGAATTGGATCGAGCCGCTTCGAAATCTGTTCAGTTCGACCAGCCAGCGACTTGGATGTTGCACCGGATTCCTTGAAGACGTTACGCGAAACAAGGGCAGTGGACTGTAGGACTCGGTCGTCGTCCTGCATTGTCAAGTTCCACATCTTTCGACGGAAGGCTGGATTACTGCACCCTCCTGCAGCGCAAGAGATGTGGCGACGCTGGATTCAGCTGTCATGTAGGGGCTGCTGTTACTTGCAATGTAATACTACGATCTTCTGGTCGACCAGGTCTATTAGAATTGGGTATCTTGGATGCAGAGATGGAGCGGATACTGCGACTGCGCAAGGCAAAAGACCGAGCAGCTCCAGGAGCAGGTTAATGGCAAAGGCAGCGCAGACCAGGAGGGATTGCGTCGCGTCTCAAGAGGACTGCGTGTTGCTACTCAAGGTGGTGGCTATCAAACTATCAAGTGGGAGGCGGAGAAATTCGTACCAGCGCGAGGTTGCTAGCGAACAGCTCCAGGACGTTCGTCGCGACAAAAGATAGATCAAGTTCACGGGAAGTTCTTCGCATTACTTTGTGAGCTTCTCATACCAGTGCAGAAGACACTTTCTATGCTCACAAGTTAGTTGAGACGCTGGTTTGACGACTGGATAATCAATCGTTCGACAACTTTACGATAGAGCACCTTCCGACCGGTTGAGCTCCAAGTAAATGTGCTATTGGTGACGAGACCGTGCAGCCGTGAATCTGTATACGAAGCTGACTATAGTGTATCTCCGTGCAGTACTGAATTGCATGTGTCTGGTACGAAGCAACACGACGCAGGAATATACGCCGTCGCACATGGAATCAGCTCTCGGAGCGACGCGGAATAGCCTCCCGTACAACGCTTGCGTGGTCCAGAAGGCTTGCATCTTACCGTCTGTTTCTGTGGCTAGCTTTGCAATCCAGCATCCATTGATCTCCCAGGTAAAACAACTCGGATACCAGTCCACCCTTGCATCACCCAGGCACTCTACCAACTTCCAATACCCAAAACAAACTGACCGCACACTTTTCATATCCCAGACATTTCATTCATCGGAGCTCGCCTCGACTCTTACACACGAGCCTGTCGCTATTCCTCCTCCTTCTGGGGTGGAGGTCCACAAGGCTGCAGCATTTTCTCCAACATGTTGTAGCGCACGCGGCCCATGGACTCGTTCTCTGCGACGGCAAAGTAAGCCAGCAGGTCCGAGTGGCCCAGGTGTGACGCCAGCGTGTCACGGTGCTGATTCACCGTCCACTCACTGCAGAACCAGTAGCAGATCGATCAATTAAACAGTAACAATGTATGTGAGTGTTAGGATCAGCAATACAACACAAGCACGACGTAGCTGCCGCTAAAAAGCGCACAATTTCGTCGTGTCCGCGTGGCCCGTGCCCACGTATTTGGCCTGTAAGTGTTCCCACTGCCGGTTGATATTGAAACGGTCTGCAGCCTGTATAGAAGGAGCCGCAACAAAGGTCAGCAAGGGCGACGTCAACACACCACGATGGCAGCAGGTCTACGCACCATTTTGCCCAAGTTCGCGCTTCGCAAATTATGAAGTTTGAATTTTGACGTTCAAATATTAGGGTAGAAAACGAGTGGTGGGATGCAAAATGACACGCTGCCGTGGCCGTGAAAAGGTGAACAATGGCGGAAGTCGCGCGCCCTGGCGTTCCTCGTCTGATTGCTACAAGTCCCAGTTGTATATTCAACTGCAGATGACGCGGACCTTATCGCGTGACGATTTTTCCTCAGTACAGTTGAAATAAATGGGGCTGTTTGTCCGAGCCTTTGCGCGAGGCAAGGTGCTCCTTGACTCATCGTGACGCCTGCGTGCCTTACAAATGGACACTCGCCCGCCGCGTTGAGACTTTCTTCAAACAGGGACGGCGCTCACGCAGGCGGGTTTTGATTCTAACTCGTAGCATTGACGCAGTGCAAACGAGGCTGCTGCTTCTTGCTGCTGCCGTCCTCACTTGGCATCAGAAAGTCCCGTCACGTTTCGCCTTGATGCTAATCAAACTCTTTCACGTCGACTACGAAGACGATCAGCGCTGTCATCCGCTTGTGCAACCCGGCGCTGGAGCAAATTTAGTTCGTGTCATGCACGGTAGTGATCCATTATTACCAAGTGGCGGACACCAACCCATGCTCCGTCTTAACTCGTGGGCTTTTTACACCCACACAACAACAACACGTCGAGCTTCTTGTCTCCAGTGGCGTCCAAGCTCTGTTGTCTCAGCTGGTCAAGTACCGCCAGTTGTGCTGTACAGGTCCCACGACTTGCAGCTTGCTGGTCTCCCTTGGAAAGGCCCTACAATCCGAGTGGCGTCTGGCTTTCCATCCTTGAGCACTGCAGAATCTGCAGGTCCAGTTTTCTGAGCGCGCTGGTGATAACAATACGGAGGATACTGCGCTGGGTGTTGCTACCGTTTATAATGGAAAGGCTGGGGCGACGCGTCCGCCTTCTGCAGCACCGGGCCAGTACAACAAACTCAAGGGCAGCAAAGCGTAGAGGATAGAGTCACCCGGGGAGTAGAAATGACGAGATGGAAACAAGGGACAGGTCGCGCGCTTGCTGGACTGGTGATCACCCGCCGAGCTGAGGCAAAGAGAGGGCGAAGCAACTTGGACCAAACCACATCGGGGACGTGCACCAAGAATCTTGGTGAACGAACGGGTAGCAAGAGAGGCCGAAACAAGTCCCTTTTGCACGACGGTCAAGCCTGCACACAGCAGCAGCGAGAGCCGCTATGTGACAGACACACCCGTTGCATTCGGCGTGTTCAGAGGTATACAGTGCATAGTAAAAAAAGTAACTTGGTGGTGGTCGTGGTGGTTGTTGTGACGCCGCTTGGGTGCGACAATGGACTCGAGTGGACAAGTGCGTGTTGTTCCCCCAACACTTGCTTGTCTACAAAATCGACGCGTCCGTACAGACCAACTAGCGTCTGTGTAGGTTTAGACCTGAGTTTAGTAAGCGTTGCGATCCAAGTGGAACGCGAGACCGTGGCTGAGTTTACTGTCTTTCCGGGGCTGGATTCGAACAATTGCTGGTCTCTGGCCACCCTCTTACTGACGTATGTACAACGAGCGGCTATAGCCTGGCCAAAAGGCTGGCCCCGGCAAAGCTCCCACCTGCCGTTGCGATGCTGTTTGCTGCCGCTGGCTGGAAGGCAAGTGACGTCAACTGCGTCTGCTAACTTAGCCGGGGGGTGGGGCGGAGTCAACGTTCGCTGCGTAGGTTATGTAAAGATAGTATGTGATAGTCGCCACAAGAGGTGAAGGATACTTTTTCACTTCACGGATACCAGCACTGCAACGATGCCGATAGATCGATAGGAGATGCTAAAGTCGACACGCACTGGTTTTCTGAAGCTCTCTCTCTCTCTCTCTCTACTGCTTCTCAGCAGATTATTCGCACGCGCGCGTACTCTTCCGCTTTCTTCGCCTTGTTTCTTCCTGCTGCAGGAAGCGGGTTGGGTGGTGCAGAGCCCCGTCGTCGACGCTTCTCTCCCTCGTACCATGAGTGCTCGCGAGCAGCCAGAACGATGAGTAAGACGAGCTCTTTGTACTTATAAACTTGCTTATCAATCAATCACTCAACCCCTGCGCATTATTGAGGCAGGAGATGGTATTCCCACTACCGACCGACTACTACACGCGCTTGCTTGCTTCCAGTGACGGCAAAGACGCAATCGGCGCACTCTATTGTTTAACACACACCCACCCGCTCGCTCGCGTCCCAGCGAGTGCAGACTTACCACGCTCGCGACACGACGCAGGCGACCCTTCTTATAGTAGTTCCACGTATTATACTGCTCAGCAGGCTCTCGTCACTGCCCCAATGATCGACCGATTGACTGGCTGACTGACTGACGGGTCCCCCTCTTGCAATTTACAGTCCTTCTCTTCGTTCTGCACAAGATCCATGATCGGGGTCGTCGTCCCGGGACAATCCATCGCTGCTGAGACCTCCCTAACTAGCTAGGCGTGCCACCACCGAGCACGGACTTTAGGTGGTCAGAAACTCTGGCAGTTGAAAAGACTCGGCGCAGTCGTTCTCCGGGTCCTTGCTCCGTGTTTTCACTTGAATATAGTCGGCCATGACGGCCTCGTAGCTGTCAAGTCGCCGCGTGAGCTCACAGAAACAGCAGTCGCAGTCCGGTCCGTGCGTCTCGGCATCTTCGACCGACGCAATCTCTTTCGAGTTGTCAAACACGCACTCCATGAGTCGCGCGCGCCAGTCCTGGTAAATCTTGAGCCGCAATTGATGCGCCTCGACGCGCGACTCGGGGCTCATGCTCAACGCCTTCTCGTTCACTTGCACCGAGAAGTCGTCCATGATGTTCAAGTACTGCTCGTGGAGCGTCTGGAGACTCGACAACAGCTGGTCTTCCTCGGGCGACAGCGTCTCTTTCATGCCCACGAGGAAGTCCCGAACGTTCTTGGCAATTTCCATCTCGCGGTTACAATTGATTGGCTGGTCAGTTCCTTGGTCCCTTGGGTCGTTGACGTGCACGAAATGGTTCGCTCCAGTCCCTTTGGCGGCTGCGACGGCTTGAGTGCGTTGCAAAGTAGAGATCGAAAGATCAATAGCTGCTGCTGGTGGTAGTGGGGGTCAATGAATTGGCGGCTTTCGGGAGAGCAACGGGTCCGACTGACGCCCTGCGCGAGGGAGGGAGGGCGGGCGGGCGGCCTGGCAACCAAAGGACTCTGTTGGCGTGTGTCGTGGCCAGCAAGATGGCAAATGGTACGTCCGGGCGGCCGGCCCGGCTGCTCGGGGATGAGTGTGTGTGTGTGTGTGTGGCGTGGCGTGGTCCACACCGACTAACTCCACGCAGTCGTTGTTCCCTTCCACTTTTGGATGGGAGGAGCAAACGCGGCGCTCATTATCATATCATGGAGCGGGCCCCGAATATCACAACAAGAAAGATGGGCAGGCACGCCAATTGGCCAGCCGCCTTGTAGCAACGAAAGGTACCGACCGCTCTGTCTCTTACTACAGCCCGATCTAGTCATCGAAACATGGTCGGGTGGCACGACCATCGTGAATGCCTTTGAATACCCACACACAACACCCACAAAACAACCACAAAACACCCGGTCCTTGTGTTATTCGAATAAACTTTGCCGACCAGTTGACATTTCCACGGAAGGTGCTGCTGTAAGTAGGTCGTGGTTGAGACGGTTCCCAGACGCTATATATGTCGACTACCAGCCGGGTACGACTGCCATGGGGTGAATTTTGCAGCCGCCCCGAAAGCGAAATGTCACGATAGCGCTGAAGAAAGGGCAAGGTGCTGCTCTGTTTCTGCACGCGCGTAGAAACAAGCCACGGCGCGCGTCCTTTTTATGAGCCCGAAAACGCCGGAAATCGCCCGCCCGCTAATAGTGCACGTCCTCGAACGGGTGGGGAGGGGACGGGGGTAGCGGCGGAGCAGGCGGGCCCGTGCCGCAAAACTATTACTCGCTCCTGACCTTTTTGTAGACGCCCCGGTGCTGCAGCAAAGCGCACGCGAGCCTCTTGTTCGATCTCCTCACCAACTGCCCCCGCTCTCTACCCTCTTGGCGTTTTCGAGCCGGCTATGGTTGCTTTCGTGGCGACTGCTACTGCTACTGCTGCTGCTGCTGCGACCGGGGCATCAGTCTCTCGTGTGAGAGGGCACCCATCTTCGAACAGCTCCCTAGTCTCCAGTGCGCTCGTCTACCTCCCTACGAGTACGTCCGTACATGCGTACGGACGGACAGCCGGTCGGACGGACGGATGAATGGACGGACTGGTTCAAGGTCAAACCTGTAATCGGATCGATCTCTCTACCTGCTGGCAAAACACTATCGTCTTGCAACTAGGTAGCTACATGGCCGCCACCAATCGATTACATATCTGTATCAATCCGTCTTCACGGTAGCAACCTATCGGTGACAAGGGCGCGGTCAAAAGAGACACACTGCCAACAGGTCTTTCGTCGCCAACTCTGGCCTCGGCAATGTGCAACAACGACCAATTCTGCCACCACGTGTTACGGTGCCGCCCGCAGCTGGACTTCGATGGAACATCAGTCCGCGATTGAAGATGAATTGCCCGTGCCCGTTCGCACGCTCTTCTGTCGGTGGTTGCTGCACGGATGGCGCTTCCGACGCAGCAACAGTGGACTTCGTTGAGGGATAGATCACTGTCCAATGACGCGGTGTCTTGATCAAGAGGAAGAGGTTGGTTGACCTGGCGACGGGCATCGACGGCCCATTGTACCGGGATGGGAGTTCAGACTGAACGGCGCGGGCAGCTGCGATCACGTGAGTAGACCAGCGGGACACGGCCGCCACAGCGACTGCGCGAGTGACGTGCGCGAGCGTCGACCCGCAGCGAAGGCACGAAGCAAATCAGGCCGAACGATCTGGTCGGGCTGAGGTTCCGATCATCAAGATGACGCCATTCCGCTGGAAACCGCGGTGATTCGTGTGGTACACACCATATCTCAAGTGTCCAAACTGACTGATTCGATCGTCAACCTTCGGACGACCACGGATGAAGGAGTGTCTGAATTGCAATTGGTGATTAATAAAACACATCGCCGATTCGTCCGTCGAACCAGACGATCCGCTCTGTAGTTGTGAGTGGTGATCACTAGATTTCGAGTTCTTGCTTGCGAGACGCCAGCTTTTTGCATGATCAGTGAGCAGATACTCCCTCTCTTTCTATACAATCATTTGCATTCTCAGTGAGCAAGCAGACTGTCCCTTCGATATTCCATTGGAGCGGGGGCGCTATTTCGTATCGTAGAGAGCGAGTGCTCCGATTTGGCTTCCTTGTGAGCCGGTCTCCACTTCGTATGGGTGCATCATTTTGCACCCTGAGTCAGTCAGTGGGTGTGATCATTTGTATCCCAATGAAAACAGGTTTTGGTCGTGAGAATGCAAATAGTGGCATCGTATTGTATTCCCGATGTTGGCACCTCGGTATCACTATGGAGAGGAATGTTCATCCCGCGTATTCCGTCGCACCTCTCACGTGTAATATCGAATATCAGGTCAACCCCCGTGCCTGTTTTAGGCTGTCGGACAGTCGCTGCAGCCTTTACTGCAACTACTCGACAGGTGCGTTCCGCCCGACCGACCTCACGGCTTTGAAACCGTACCGGACGTGAAACCTGTTGCGTATATCTGATAGCCCAGTCGCAGCCTTGAGTAGGGGCGAGACTGGCCATATGAAGTTGCAAGGCACGACTGCCACTCGTGACGGGCGCATTGCTGTCTGTCGATGCTCCACTGACCAGCATAGAAGTCGTTTCTCTATCATGATCTAGACTGAGGAAACGGTCTCCTCAGCACTCACTCACTACTTAACACAACAACCGCTACACGTAATCAACGAGTTCAGACTCACGTGAATAGATAGACAGACAGATAGATGACTGACGCTCGTCATACAAAGTGCAACACTCGTCTACAGCCACGAGCTCACCATGCAACGGCGGCAACCCATGGGTTCAGTACCACCGAACGAACGAACGAGAATACATTCCGTCACGATAGACATGAAGGTCGATAGAGCTACCGATACCGGTCGCTGTTGTCGTCAACTGCCTCAAGCCGACCCCGTGCGGCTAACGGACTGTACTTCCAGTGCAAAGAAGCAGCTGCGACGGGGTGCCCCGTGCAGCTGGCAAATCGTGTGGTCCCATGGCTGTCACCTCTCAATCTCCGGCTTCAACCGTGCGACTCGGACACGAAACCTGGCACGCCCATGCAGTAGCATTTCTGAATCTACCAGCGACCAAAGCGTCGTCTAGTACGGGAGAAGAACAACAACTAGCAATGGACTCGTCCTGTGCCACTCGACGGACGCAGCGTCAATTGCCTGCATTGACACCAGCTTCCTTCCGGTCGAGCTCGCCTGCTGCTGCACCACACAAGCTCGAGCAGCTTCGTAATCGCCCTCGACCTCAACCTACTGACAATAGCAATAGCTCGAGTCGATCACGAGCTCTACCGTCGCCTTCAATTGCTCACGTTTTCTTCAATCGACGGCCGCTGGACTTGATCCGGCGCACGACGAGCTCGGTGCTGACATTGGAAGGGAGCGATCGCTCAGCTCTTGCGAAAGTCAGCGCAACGGCAGGTCTCTCAGGGGACGAGCGACTGCATCGACCTTCTTGTGGTCTCCACAATAGTGACAAGCAGCACAGTCGATCACGACTGCAGCAGCTCAAGGACAGGAGCAAGACCAAAGAGGAGGCGCGACCTTATTCCCAGCGAAGGCTGCAGCTTGCAGGAGCGGTGAAAGATGCAGAAACAGAGCCGAGGAAGCTGGAAGGCCGTTTGCAGGACGTCGCGGAGACCAGGAAGCTATTGGCGAGATGTCCTTTGACTGGGAAGGAAGTGGCTGGAAGGGAGATGGCGAAAGCTGCTGAGCTGACGGGACTCGAGCGCGTGGAGATCCAGCAGTATGACGAGGTCTACTTCGTATCGACACTTGCGGTCAAGCGAGCTCGTTGCAATGGACGTATCCGGAATATAATGCCAGTCCATGGCGATGAGCCACTGGAAGTGGAAGCTGAAGACCCGAACGAGGTGCCCACGCAGTTGCACAATGATGGCTACGATGACAAGGATGGAGATTATCTCGTCTTGATTGGAGACCACTTGGCATTTCGATATGAAGTGCTGAGTGCTTTAGGCCAAGGAGCATTTGGCCAGGTTGTTCGTTGTGTGGATCACCGCACGCGCAAACAAGTTGCAGTGAAGATTGTCCGCAATCGACGAGCGTATCGTGACCAGGCACTGATGGAGGTGCAGGTTCTAGCTCAGCTCCAGCGTGGAGCAGCAGCTTGTCCTGAGTATCCGCATGTTGTCTGCATGGAAGACCACTTTGAGTTTCGAGACCACGTGTGCATCGTCTTTGAGGAGCTCGGCATGACCCTGTACCATTATTTATCGATCCGATCCTTTCGCGGGGTTTCCATGGACAGCGTCCGCACGGTGGGTGAGCAACTGGCACGAGCACTGACGTTCTTAAAGCAAGAGAAGGTGGTTCACTGCGACTTGAAGCCGGAGAACATCTTGCTCGATGCGTCAGTGCTGGCGAACGCTGCACGCTGTACGGATACTTTGGACAAGGTGACGCTCATTGATTTCGGCAGCAGTTGTCTGGATGGATCTCCCGTAGCCACGTACATCCAGAGCCGTTTTTATCGCAGTCCTGAAGTACTGCTCGGCCGCGTTTGCTCGGAAGCCATCGATATGTGGAGTTTGGCGTGCATCCTGGTGGAACTACTGACAGGTCACCCAATTTTTGCTGGTGAGAATGAGCGCGAGCAATTCGATTGCATCGTGGAGGTGCTCGGTGTCCCTCCGGTTGACATGGTCCTCCAGGCAAAGCGACGTCTGAACTTTTTCGATGAAGTCGCAAACCCTGCGGATGTTGAGTCTGCAGCGTGCGTGCTGAAGCCATTTGTTAACTCACGCGGACGTCGACGCATACCTGGTTCTCGAAGTTTGGCTAGTGTGGTAATGACCGATGACTCGGAGTTCTTGCTCTTTTTGGCCAAGTGCTTCGTCTGGGACCCCAGTCAGCGCCTTACTGCAGAGCAAGCGCTGGAAGAGCCATGGATGCAACGCCGGCATTGTAGAACTTAACTTCTAGATCGTAACCAAGCGTTTGTCAAGGATGCAGTTTTTTCCAACACTTGAGCATCGTATTGTAGCATGTTACGCGACAGGTACGTCTGGAAGAGCTGCTGCCACTGCTGTCTCAGATATCGCGGGCGAACGTAGCTTGTCTGCAATGGGGTCCGTGTAGTCGACAACACCCCACGTGTGCACACTCTTGTCCCATGAACCCGTGGCAAGCATCGTATCGAGCTTCTTGCCGTCAGATGCTGATGACAACTTGAACCAGTCCAGCGCACGAACGTAGTCTCGATGCGGTGCTATCTTCTTTTCGCCAACAAGCAATTCTCTACCCACAGCGCGGTCGGACGAGAAGCTGTCCGAAGTCACGAATGCCTTCCCATCGTCCCCTCCCGTCGCCAACAGGTCATCATGATACACCGAGTACTTCACGACGTGTACGGCTGCTCCATGAGTCTCTCGTCGAGTCAGCGGTGCGTGCGGCGAGCGTACGTCAAAAGTACACACCGTGCCGTCTTCCAAACCGACCGAGAACACCGTGGACTGCGTCGGGTGCCAGTCTACCGACAGCGCAGAATGCAATGTCGACACCACCAACGCTGCACTTTGAGGACGACGAGCGTCCCACAGCTGCACCGTCATATCCTGTGATGCCGAGCACAGTAGAGGTGCATGCATCGGGTGCATTGCCACATCCCAAATCAAATCCGTATGACCTTCAACCCACACCAAATAAAACACTCGCTGCCATGAGACTTACAGTGCTCAAACTGCCTGCCCTTCATACTCGATGGCCATTCCACGCACCTTCAAGCGTCGAGATCGTCTCGTTCATGGCTTCAATGTCCCACAACTTCACCCTACAACCACGTCCAAGAAAGCACAGCATAGAAGCCACTTTTAGCACTCCCAATTGACCAGCAGCATCTCTTCTCCCAATGTCACAATTGCACCGTACGTAAGGTCCCAACTGCACGTCGCCAGCTGCGTCTTTGCGACACGCGAGCCACTCACACCCGTGACAATATCATCGTGTCCTTTTCCTGTACTAACCCCAGCATCCGCTTGCTCTGCCCTGCCTCCAGCAGCGCCACTGATCGGTACCAGAGCCACTGCTTCATCGGTCCGGCCCAATTGCGCCAGCCGCACGTCGCCATCGTCACAGCCCAGCACGAGTGTGTCTTGATGTGCACCACACCAATCCAGAGCTCCCACGCCAGCGTCCAGCTGCAGCCCACACACCGGTTCATTAGTATCGGAAGCTTGTACCAGCGTGACCTGGCCGTTCCAGACGTTTCCCTCGAGCTGCGACTGGGCGACAGCTAGCAGCGACCCCTCGTTCGCATGCGCGTGATCGTGGGCTTCTCCTACGTCCGTAAACAGCGCGTGAGGCAGCGCACAGGCAGCGACAGCGTCCACCTGTGCCGAGGACGAGTACGCGGGATGCCTCATGCTGGTCAAACGAGAGGCGAGACGACTGGTAATCGCGCAAAACGCGATCGGATTGGCTGAAAAGCTGCGACTTGAAGTCGGCCATGGAAGAAGAAGAAGAAGAAAAAAGCAGTTTTGTTTTTCTTGTGTAAAAAAAGGATCGCAGTCCGTTAGGTTCGTTCCGGTTGGTAGCTGCCTTTTTTCTGTTCGTCTCCCTTCGCGTACATGTCGACCATGTCGCATACGAAAGATCTACGACCTTTCAGTATTAGTTTTAACAGCCGCGTTGGACGTTGAAGAGCTCTTTGAGGGGCACGTTTGGCAGTTAACGACTGCGATGGTGGGTGACTGTGCACTCTCGTCCCACATCCGCCTCTGCTCGCCCTCCCTCCCGCTCGGTCGGTCGCTCTGTAGCAACAGCACTTCCCGATTCGCGCACTACAAGCGACACCAACCGACCAACTGACTGACCGACGCAAGTTTTCCTACACTAGAATGCAAATCCCGACGAGTATGCCCAAGAGCTCCAACGACCGCGGCATGAAAGAAGCAGCGTCCAAGAAGGTGGACGAAATGCTCACGGAGGCGGAACAGATGCGTGATCGCAAGGACTTGGGCGACCAAGGCCGTCGGACTCTGGAGCAGATCCAGGAAGATGCACGGAACCTCGGCGAGTATGCTCGTGGCAAGATGGACCACATGAATGAAGTGATGCGCGAGGCAGCGGCCTCGGCTCGTGAGTCAGCTGGACTGCCTGACTCGGCTCCGGTGCCAACCGACGCAATGAGTGAGAAGGTCATGGACTCTCTCAAGACGGCGAGCGAGAAGCTGAGTGCCGAAATCAGCGACTTGGGTGAGCGCGTGGAGAGTGTCAGAGCTCGAGTCGCGCACCAGGTTCACGCTGCAGGGGGCAAAGCAAAGGACACAGTCAATGCAGCGAGTGACAAGGCCAAAGACACGGTGTATGCGGCCAGTGACAAAGCCAAAGACACGATGCACGCAGCAGGTGATAAAGCCAAGGATACGTGGATCCAGAGCTCGGAAGCCGCCAAGAATGTGGGTGAGCGCGAGTACTGCTTGCCGTTGCCAACGGACCGCATTTGCGCGCGGCACGTGGCCATGGTGGGGCTTCCGTTGCTAGCCTTGTTTTTGCTGATGATGATGCGTCGTCGCTACCCGAAGAAGTGGCAGGCGAGCGTGGACAAGATGCGGACGCCCGGCAAGTCGCTGGCGCGCGAGATGCCATCGAGTGACCATATCAAGTCGAAGCTGGAAGGGGTCGCCGATACCCTTGAGGAGAAGATTGAGTATGGCAAGCAGCGTGGGAGCGCCGTGGTGGACCAAGTGCGCAGCAAGTATGGCCAAGTGGAGAATAAGAAGGAGCAGTAAGGAGGAGAAGGCGGATGATGAGCATGTCTTCCGTATAGCGTTGAAGACACGAATCTAGTCACGCCGATTGCTTGCATACATTTTATTTCCTAATAAGTTGACATAAGAAATCAGCGTTGATCAATCGCAATCATGTGAGAGTAGATGGAGAGAGTGGTCAGACGCAGATGAGCTCAGATTGAGATGATTGTGTTCATGAAACCTTCTGCCGCTTGACGGCCGCTGCTGCACTCGCAGACTCGGCCTTGTCGTGCGTTGGTACGACACCCGCCGTTACTGCTCCTTCGACCCCAGCTACGTCGCGCCCTGCAGCTCGAGCAGCAGCTGCAGCATTGTTGTTCTCTAGCTTTTCGGCAATTTCTGGTGCGTGTTTTTTCATGAGTTGGATCAAGATCGAGTCGACGCGCGCCGAGTTCTCGCGCTGCTTTTCCATCTTCTCGTACTTCTGCTTCAGTTTCAGCTGCAGCTCTGCGCACACGGCAAAAAACAAGTCAGTTAACGTGATCGATCCCTAGTACAAAAAGCACTGGCGAACACCCAACAGTCCTCAACGTACGCTCCGACGGAATCACCGGCTCCTTCTTCTCCTTGGAGCTAAAATCCCACGCATACCCTTCTGTCGGGCTAAACCGCACACCCGCTGCCAACCCGTGGAACGCTTTATTGATGCGATAGCTGCACTTTTTCTATCAAGCAGTTTGTGGTTTTCCACCAATCACAGACACAATCAACCTCGCGCACCATAAGCTCAAGTGGCGCAACCTTCGAACGACCTCACAACACGCAACGTACGAGGCGAGACGTCAGCATTGCGTGGATGTTTGGGGCCTGGTACACGGTACCATCCAGCACGTAGTAGACCGCGAGCGGCTCAACCTGCGTCCGGCTGCTCCGTCGCTGCTTCCGGACGACGTAGAGCTGCTGGGGCAACTGCTTGGCCGCGTTCGGCAGGAGCTCGTACTCGATCCCGCGCAAGTTCTGGAGCTGGTCGAGCCCTAATCGCTGCATCTTGAGGCGCTCGTTGTTGCACGAGCGGTCGTAGAACGGGGATAGGGCAAAGTAGTGCAGCACCGTCTGCGGGGTCAGTGGGAACGACTGGAGCCACACAGTGTCGCGGAACGACGCGTTGTAGTCGTCCGCGTGCGCTGCGACTTCCATAGTTGATACTCGAGAGACTTTGGGGATCAAAGCGGCGGTTCGATTGCGCAAAACTCGCGTGTCGCTCGAGTGAAGTTGCTGCAGTGAAGGTTGTTCGAGTGAAGTTGCTCGAGTCAAGTTGCGGAATGGCCTTTTCGGGTTAAGTGCGATTGAAATAGGACAGAGCGCACTTATCACGGACGACGACTTTTCCCTCTTGTCGAGCATTGCAAAACGCCTTTTTTTACACATGACCGAATGCCGAGTCACGTATCGAACGGCCTTTGATCGTGAACTGCGAGCGTTTGTGGTGAAACAGCTGGTCAAGTATTTGCTGTTGATACGTGGCCAAGTACCGTGGTACGTCGTTAGTGATGTCGGTGTGGTTTTATGTGCGGAATCAGATGTGTGTGCGTGTGTGTGGCTTGGCCGAGAAATGCTGAGTCGGGACTTTGTTGTTTTGTTTTGCGGTGCAATCACGACTTGCAGTTTGTATGACGAGCTGCCGAAGTTTGTCGAGCGTTTTCGACTGGAGGAACAGATGGGTCCATTGAATGGAAAAAGGTGGTACTCATGACTGCTGCTGTTGTCTTCTTTTTTTTTTTGTGTTGACGTTGTGGGTTCTTTTTGTTGTTGTTATTGTTTTTGCGTGGTGCTGATGGTGGTTGGTGGTAGGCTGCCGCTTCGTGAAGGGCTCAAGAAGGCAGTCAAGTGTGTGGAGGCAGCTGAGCAGTTGTTTCAAGTCCACTTGGATGCTATTTTTGCACTGCAAGTTAAGAGAGGTGGGTGGAGTGTTGGACGCGGAGAGAATGAAGTGTGCATGAGGCTACAGGATCGATGCTGACTTTTGTTGATTGCAGTGGCGCTCGTGTTTGGATCGTCAACAATCAGTCCGCGCGAGGTCTTCATTGTCGAATTTAAAGATGTGAAGGATGCAGAAGTGTTGCTGTCTGGTGCTGTTCCCTCGCCAGCGCGCAGTGGCCTGACAGATGACTCACTTGAAGACTCAGAGACGATGGCGGTGCCGTCACGCGTGATGACCAGAGAAAAATTGATGCACTTGTGTGCGCAAAAATGCATGCGTGCATTGTTTGTGCATTCTATGCAGCATTTTTCGAGGTGAGGAAGATGTATGTGGCTGTGTGCGGACATGCTAACATGCAGGGCTTTCATGACGTGGTGTTTTGTGGCTGTTCCGTCTAGAGCCTTACCGGCAACAAAGTTGCATGTTGCAGTGCTAGCGGATCGACAAGCCGCGCGTGTTGCAGGGTTTATTCCGAAGCAGCATTTCAAGCTTCGACTTCCGAAAGATAAGCGTGGAGTGAGAACGCACTATGTGACGATATGCAGTAAGCTCGCTTGCAAGAAAGACTCGCAGCAGCTGGATGCAGTGGAAAGCACGTACAACAATACGAGCAAACCAAGTGGACGTGCTGGTGAGGTGGAACCCATGAGCATTCACAAACCTGCGAACACCAACGAGTCAGACATGCTCTGGCACGTCCTCGAACTGCCGATTCCAGGCTTTTCGGAGGTCATCAATACTCGTGAAGGCCAATAGCGGTTGAAGCGTGCTGCTGCAATGACTCAGAGAGACGATGAGATATCTATGCCAAGTTGAAGTCGAGCTGTTCATCCGACTCTGAGCATGACAATGATGACAAGGTCACCACGGCGAAGGCTATCACGAAGTCCAAGTGATGTGTCGGTGATTCCTGAATTTTTGGATGCAAGTAACCTTGGCCCCGACAGCGTTTGCTCACGGTTGAATCGCCTATTTGTGCTGGCAGGTCCGTACCGAGCATGATTTTACCAATACACTTTGTATCAATAACCTGCAACACACAGCAGCACCTGCTGCACGGTATTCAAACAACCTCGACGGTCGCGAGGTGCACTCAGCAAGTTCATGGTCATGGTAACGGCTCTTTGTAAGCGACCAAAGGTACGAAGTCGTCGAGTGCTCGTAGAAGAAGCGATAGCTGCACACGACTTGATCGCGGTATAGAACTTCGGTGCCACAGATCATGACGCAAATATATTGCACCCTGAGCTCATCACAAAGCGGAAAACACAATGCACACACGCGAGCAGCATTGCAGCAGTCGCCGTATTACCAATGTCGAAACACTAGCTGTTACACTAGCCGACAAGTAGCACCCACCCACTCACTGCTTCTCGTTCTTCACATCGCCTAAAGGTATGAAGAATCAGTCACCCACTGACTCTTGGATCTCAGTCTCCGGCCAACATCAGATGCGCGCTGTCTGCCTTCGTCTTCCCTCGACTTCATTCCGGACGGTGGACTTTCGTCTTGTTGCGTGGACTGACCTTCTTACCCGGCTTTATCGCTTCTGCCTTGATCTCTTCAGCACTGTTGATCTTCCCTCCCGGATAGAGACAAATGAGCGACACTTGGATGATCCCCATCGTGAGCGAAAACAAGTTCGGACACATGACAAGCGGATCGCCCAACATGATGCCGTAAATGAACCACAGCGAGCCACCCACGACATTCATGGCAGACATGCCCAGTGGCAAGCAGGACGCGTCTTTACGTCGCAAGATGCTCTTGAGCTGCAGCAACGGCGAAGCAGCGGTAAACACGGACAAGATGTTGGCTGGAATGCCCGTAATCAGCTGCGTCTCCTCTGGCGAACGGGTAAAGACCTGGTAGACCATCAATAGGATCACCAGCATAGCTGAGGATAGCAGTCTCGTCGGCTGCGTCCGATTGGGCGTGTACTTGTAGTAGATCAGCACGTAGTAGGCGCCCAGCAGCACGCCCAAAAGCGACGTGCCACCCACGACGAGATTAGCGGTTGTCCAGCCATACAACGTGTAGATGATGCTCTGTACAAAGTAGAAGAAAAAAGGAGCAAACGGGAACTGCAAAGTGCTCCGTGCTCGACGGATAGCTGCGACCGTGGGCCTAGTGGATAAAAAAATAGAGTAACAACAGGGGTACGTTAGGGGGGTCATTACAGGTGGTGGACACTTAATCGAGAGATCGCAAACGGAAAATAGAAACATGGATTGAGGGCGTACCAGGGCGCGAGGGCGAATAAGACGGACGCGCACGTGGCGACGACGGGGACGGCTTTCGCTGCGAGGAAGTACGTCATGTAGGCGGCGTTGGCCACTGATTCCATGGACATGACGCTGGCGATGCGGGCTCGAGTCTGTCGTAACGCGTGTTTATTTATTGGCAAGGACGGAGGGCGTGCTTAGAGTTGGCAAAACGTGATTAGAGATAGAGTACGTTATTGCAAGAAACGGATCAGCGCGGTCGTTTTTAGAAATGGCACGATACGAGTGCGAAATAGAAAAAAGTGAGAAGGTTCCAGAAGAAAAAAAGAGGTTGATGTTGATGGAAGGAATGCGTCGATGGGAGATGGATTGCGACGGGACGGAAGGAGAGGAAGTATCAAGGATGGTTGAAAAGGAGGATCATCGACTTTTGCGGTTTGCGCGAGTAGCGCTTTATATTATTTAGCAAGCAATAAAGTGGCTTTGTGGACGTCTTTCTAGAAAGTAGGAAGTGTGAGCGATTTATTCGTAAATGTTTCAATCTTTGTCTTCATACGTAGTGGTAGTTGTCCTCCGAGGTGCGATTGATGATTTTAAGGCGCAAGATTTGCAACGAGCACGGAATTTGTTGCAAAAAGCAGTTCAGTGTGAAAGAAGCGATAGAAAACGCGTTCTCGTGGGCCACTGTGATCTCCCTTTGGCGGAGGTTTAGAAGATTGATGTGGACGAATGGATGGATGGATGGTACATTTTCATCCTGACGATTCGCGAAAGTTCTGGATCGACCGACAGACTCCTATCGTATCCACAATTTTTTGCAGAATGTTGTCAGGATCGTGGGGTGTACGAGTGTTTAGCCACTTGAAACGTGATAGAAGTCACTGCGGCTACTTGCGCATGCTCCACTTTTTCAAACATGCATCTGTGAGACAGAGATCGTTGAAATGACAAGCACAAGAACGTTCACCATTTTTTTCTACTCTGACGCCTAAATCTCATTCAAAGTAATGACTAGCCTCTGACACACTTCTACAGCAAGTTTGGCGAAGCTTCAGGGTAGTTGCTGTCATTGAGAGCAGCCCTCCCCATCTCGGCATAACTGCAAGAATAGTAGAAAGTTCGCGGATGATGGGACCGTTTTTATGTCTCAATGAGCGAGGAAAGACAAGACGAGTCCATGACAAGTGCAGACAACTCGCGATACTAAATAGGGCACGGGACTACTTCAATTCAATGAGGCGGTGTTGTAGAAGTGGTATCTTCATCTTTGGTGTCAATAGGGCTGTCGTCCGTGGCGTAATATACAATACCATATACCTGGACGCCGTTGGAGCCGTCGATGTGCTGCCACTGCAATACAGACGTCTGGTAGCACCAAGAGCATGGTTTTGTAGCTCTACAGCATCGCATGAGTTTGGCACAATAACTTAGTCGCTAGCGATGAGCATTAGGCTGAGCACGGAAAAAGCCGGGCACAGATACATATCAAGCTGAGTGAGAAAACCGTGTTACCATGGACTTTCACCAGAGTATCCGGGATATTGCTGAAGGATACCGATGTGTGCTAGATGCTCTCGTACAGCCACGATTATCGTGATGAGGGATGGCAACGACCATGTATAATGAGCTGCAGCTAACCCGGAATGGCACGAGAGATCCACAAATTGACCACATGCCAGTACTCGGCTGACAGCCACACATGAACGCAGCTCGTACTTATCCAAAATGGTGTAGGGGTAGCAGACACGACATCGCGTTCTCGTGTGCGCCACTAGCATCGGTGTCGGCAAATGAATTGTGTTCAGACGCCCGACAAATGACTTGTAGTCGATGCTTAACTTTGTTGCATCGCGTGAAGGCTACGAGCTTTACACTCTCCGATGACGAAAACGAGGCAGCCACCCGGTGTGGAACGATTAGGCGCTGCGAAACGCAAATCGATCGCAGCGATAGAAGTAGTCCGTCCAAACACGACAGCGATAATTGCCTGGACCAGCTACATAGGACAACACGGACGTATGCTACACGCATACTTCCTCTGGTAGCGCATTATGGTATGGTCGATTGTGCATTACGTGCTGTTTACATGTCATGTTAGTCCAGGTGGCTACTCAATAATAACACGGTGTAATCCTCGATATCGTAGGATTAGGTGGGTACGTGGGCAGTCTCTTCGAACGAGCTAGCTGTCAAGTTATGTCGCAACGCGGCAACTTTATCGTGACCGTGGATAGAAGGTCAGTCCGGCAGATTATCAATGACATTGAAGCGCCCACCCCGGAACACCAAGCTCTTACGCCTCACGTCTCGTCCACGAGATGAATCATAGATTCTGACAGTTTACTACAAGACGGGAAGGACAACAAGTGTGCATTCTCAACTTGCTAAGACGTCCTGTTCTGCCCAGTACATAGATTGCGACCGCACCCGTTCTTCGACCGACAAAGACTGGGGTCTTTGTCCGCGCTTATTGCCACTTCGCATTGTATCCGTCACCTATTCCTGGCTTACTATTGTGTCGTACAAATATACGATCGTTGGTCATGAAGACGCGCTATCGATCGACTACAGCTAGGTCTGAACACAGTTATCGATGCACACGCGTCGTTCATACTTCACCATGAAGTGCAAGCTGATGCAGCGTAATATGTGAACAGTCGATCGACGCCGAATGTAACGGGGTGAATCGTTACATAACAATTTATAAGAAATTGTTAATAGAATATAACTATAAGATTAGAGCCTTCAGAATATTGTCACAAGGACAATATTCTGTAGCACTCCTTCCAAGTAGTTCCTAATTGGTTGATATAGGCCATTATATCAACCAACGAAGACGCGCCACGACAGACGCACGCAATGAGTGGTGAGCAGATGTAACTGATTTACACATTTGTATTTAGACATAGTTAGATGAAGATAAATACTGATTTATTGCAGACATTAACTATTATAAATACAGTTTCTACTTTTACTCTAACCGAGTACTCGCTTCTTCTTACCGTCTTCCTCTGCACGTACGAGTGTACGTGAAGTTACGATAGGCACCGCCTTATTCTGTTATCAGAATAAGTAGCTTGTACTATCACCAATACAAGCTTCAGACTGCCACCGTTACACCTGGTAGCACTTCGTAGTCCGTCCAAGGACCGCGTTCACATCCAACATGAATATGTTGGATGATGAAGATGACCAAAGCTTTCACGCTACGCGTGACGGCTACTCCCATTTGAGCGATGTCGAATGGGATGCGGTTGAACGAATGGGTTCGACCATGGGCATCCATGCTGTTAGCGTCATGCTAGAGGCTCTCAATAGAGATGCCCAACATGCTACTATCGCCAAGTTCATTCAAAATGAACTTGACGCAGAACGCGAGAAAGTAGCCTTGCTTCACCAACAAGGTTCTCAACAAGCAGAGTTGATGAGAGAACAAGGTGCTCAACAGTTTGAACTGTTGAGACAGCAGCAGGCTGCTGCTGGCGGGTCGATGCACTCGCGTCGGCCCGAGACTTTGAAGATTGACATCTCAAAGTATAGGGGGTCGAAGATGACTGCCTCTTGAGATGGTTCGTGGATTGGATGACGCCATAAGGGCGCGTCGCATCGACGACGGGGATATGCAAGTTGCATTTGCCCAGTCAAATCTGGCAGGACGTGCCAAGACTTGGGCACTGGGGCTCAAGCTGCACGACCCATATGCGTTTGGGTCGTTGCGTCTAGTCTATCACTATCTGACAAGAAACCCCTACCCAATTTAGAAGCAAGAATTAGATCCTCCGAATAGATGGCATGAGCGGTGTACATACTCGAAACATTGAAGGATTTGGATAACTTACAACTTCACGAACCGACACCTGCTTGGATGTTTTCTCCTCGTATCAGAACTCTTGACTTCCGATGACGAAGCATCAACTTTGACCAGGCTTCAATCCACAACAGCTCAACTTGCCGATATCGTTTTGCACGCTATGAATTCAATGTACATCAATAATCCAATCGCTTGCACCTTTAGTCTCGGGTAGAATGCAAAAGGTCTCTACATTCCCTGGTCTTTACGCTCGTTCGTTTCTGTCGAGACCGATGGTCTAGTATCGCTATAATCATGTTCTATTGTCTAAAACTGATCATATGTGTCATTCTTTGCAATAGACCGATCTTGATTTATCTTACAGATGCGCATTAATTCATACAGTTGGTCTTGCCTGTCGTACAGATCCACGATGCGCATGGGTCTGGTAGGCAACGAGGTTTGTGGTGCTGTTTAAATTGACAATTTCGTTGGCGCAGTGTGCACATTTAGCTCATCCAACGACCACCTCCAACTCCCTTCGGCGGAGGGCTACACAGCATCCGCCGAAGTGCGCGGCCATCGTACCACGCCACGGACGCTCAACCAGAATCTCTTGGGCCAGCCAGTTCGGATTACCCCGATTATTTTTATCGGGTCTCTCTACTTTCAAAGGACTAGCCTCGATGGTACTAGGGCTCCCAGGTGATCGCATTGAGACTCGAGTCAAGATATAAAAAATAGTGCCGTTCAAAGGTAAACGAGCAGACCACTACCGAGACAAGCAAGGTCTATAACCATACCTGGAAGCTTTCAGATTGACCCGATGAATTTTGGAGTCTACCAACAGGTTTACTGTATCTGCTTGGCTACTACAATTGATCTAGTTTTCGTTATGAGTTTCGTCTCACCGTGACCGAAAGGCCGACTCAAAGTTTACACCACAGATCACCTTTGGTGCACGTTCTTTCTTCGTGAAGGCTGGACAATTTTCGCATGCTTTATGCATTGCCACCGATTTTGGACCACTGTTGAGCCCGCATGTCCAGCCGAACAAAAGCAAGCTCATTTTAATCAACAGGGCGATCGTGGTCAAGCGCAACGAGGGGATCGAAGCCGAGTCAACGGGAGACACAACCGGGTATCGGGGTTACGAGATTGGAACAGGGGATTTAGAGAACAGAACTGGGCCCTTCGGATCCAGAACATCCAAAAGGCGCCTCTTCACGACAACGCGGGTAGCGACCAGTGTGAAAACAGAGTTCTCATACTGAACACCACTGTCCTTCCCTCTCTGTTGTTCACAGTGAACATTTTTGACATTTTGAATCGTCGCACTCCGTCTTGTGCTTCTCGTGCTTCTCGCTTCCGCCTACCAGCTTCGGCGCCATGTCGACCGGGGTCGGCTCGCGAAGCCTCTATTTCCGTTATACGCTTGCACTTGCGCGGGTCGAGTTGGCACCGAAAGCCAAGTGTGGGATTCAACAGGGGTTTCGCAATTGTGCCGAGTTTTGCACGTTTTGAGACGATGATGTATCCGATAATATCGACTATGATGTAAAGTCACTATTTAAATGATGGGATGATGGGACGTGGATTGGTGTCCACTCAGTAAAGACGTCACCCACTGGCGGAAAATGATGCCAAGGGACCTGGCGATCCAATAAGGAGATGGAAGGTGATCCCAACGGAGAAAAACGATCCGCTCCAACTGCCGTAAGACTGAAGGCGATGCGACGTGATTTGAGACGGGGCGTAGAAAGGGGTGTTTTCCACTGTGCGATATGGGACAAAGGACTGGATAGAACCTAACGACCGCTCTGAAGGATGAACAAAGGCAAGGATGTGGATGTTGGAGTAGAATCATTCTGAGAAAGGTACGCCCGGGATTAGGCGATGCAACGTGATATCATCGCAGGAGATTGCGGAGACCGACCCAAAGCTTCGCAATCAGCTGTCGAGGCTTTTGACATCATCGCAAAAGAGCCGACATCACTCGAGACTCACTTGGCCTTGTTCGAATGCGTTGCTTGATTCCTTTGTTATAATATTGATGAAGAAGTTGCCACAACAAAGCAAATTGGAAAGTAATTGATGAGGTCTTAACAAAGATCAAAAGCAAACTTCCAACTTCTTGCACATGGATATCATGGTGACTACCCTTGGTCCCATGGCCTCATCTTGAATGTCCTCAGCATCTTGGACATGATTGATGTCTTGCCTCATCATGATGACAACACTTGCATCATCACAGTTACATCAGTACCTTGCCTCATCATGATGACTAATGCTTCGTTGATATCTCCAAGTCCACTTCCGTATACGAGTGTGTCACTGTCAGGCACATCAACGTCAACATCAAACGTTCCAAAACGCTAATTAAGCTGACGTGTTCGTCGTCAACTTTAACATCCTTTGAGTTAGGTCTCTGTTACAGACATGACTAAAATCGTTTTTGTTATTTTAAGCTTAGACTACGTGGGTCCATATGACGAAGAGGTTGCATTATGGCCGCTTTTGTGTCCTTGGTCATGCAATTACGATTGATATGTATCTAAACGTTCGCTTTCAGGACGAAGACATACATTCTTTCAGCACTACGATGGGATTGGTAGAGGCTGTACGTGAATCTGGATGGGCAAAGTGAAATCAGCGTTCCTCCGAGACCAAGCGCCGGACAAAGAGAAATGTCTAGTCATCGGCGATTTAATGGTGGGCCCAGCCCGCTACTGTAATCGCTAGCTGAGCAGATCGACGAGATTAAAGTGGAAGGATCTGATGAACAGCTTTCTTGTGGAATATGCGGGGCACGGGATGTCAGCGAGCCGGCAATGTTACCACACAAAGAAGCGATCGGAGGAGGACCCCTTGGAATACTTGTGTCGGCTCAACGTGATGGGAATGCAGGCGAATATATCGGTGATGACGGGATTGCCAGATGCACGCAAGGAACATGTCAACCATTTCATTGATACCTTGGATCATTGTGATCTGTCCAATCAACTACTTTGGCTGAATGTGGAAGACGCTGAGGCCATGCACACGATACTGCATGGATACCAGCGAGGGAGATCGCGCCAAAGGAAAGTGATGATGGGATCGTCCAAATTCAGACAAAAGGGAGCGCCTGCTTCAGTGCCGTCTAAGCCCGCACGGGCGGTAAGGAAGATCCGTACCGAGGACGTCAGCAGCGAGTCAGGATCGGACACCTATGAATCGGAATCAGAAGATTGTTTGAGATCGATTCATGTGGCCTCTACTACAGATCGACGCAAACCAACCCGCGATACTTCAGCGAACACGGGATCGGAACACCCGAATACTCGTCAAGACTATGAAGGTCGCAGTGTGTCACAAAAACCATGTACTTATTGTGGATCGACCAAGCATGGAGATCTCGGTTGCTGGAAGCGGCTCACTTGCCAGAAGTTTGGGCGCAAAGGGCATCCATCCGACAATTGCTTCTTCGTGTGTCGCTCCTGTGGTGAGATGCATGACCCAGGATAGTGTCCGATAGAGGAGTTCTTCAACGTGATCCTCCAGATATGTCCCAAACAAGCATGCGGGTATGTTACCGGAGAAGGCCGAGAATATGCTAAACTAGAACGCTCGCCAGGTTGGAATCCGGTACGAGCCGAGCGTTCTAGGCTCTGCATAACTGCATACGTGGAGAAAAAGGAAACAGATCGCGAGAGTAAGCAGGATACAGATATGGAAACAAAGTTATCTCGGTCGAAGCCAAAACGTGTCACTTCTGTCTCCTATCTGAAGAGGATCCACAAGTACTCACGATCTGAACCAACTATGGAGATCGAGCTCGCTTATGGCGCATTTCGTGGATACTGGAAGCATTACTCTCCCGGGGAGTGTTTTAAGCAGGCAAAGGCTGTTGCCTAGATCAACAACACGAAAGCCACTCTGTTATTTGCTTCTGGTGCTGAAGTGTCGATTATTGACACCACCTTTGCTCGTAAGGTCGGTTGTATTATTGACGATAGTCAACGACAAGAATGTATTGGGATCGGAGAAACTCCGTAAATGACGATAGGACGTACCAAGATCAAGGCAACCCTTGCGGGATCGCTGGTATACTATATTAATGTATGGGTAGGCGATCAAGCGGGACAAGACGCGATTTTGGGAATGGACTTTATGGTACCTGCCGGAGTGCGGCTCGATCTAGTCGACGGCGCGCTACATCTACTAGAAGAAGTCCGTATTCACCTCGCAGGACGTCGCCCCGCGTACGGATCGAAGGTACAGAATGTGACGGTGAATGATCAACATAAATGATCCCAGTCGAGGAGTCGAGAGAAGTGAAGATAGGGATCGGTGGGGCCAAGTTTGAGTCGTGGGTCGCCAGAGGACTCGACTGGGTACCTACGGTGATCTCGGGTTCAGTAGGCGGAAGTATCTGCAGGTGACCAATGTTGGAGATCGCGAGATTATTCTACCTACTTATGCTATACTGGGCGTGTGGACGGAAAGGGACATAATACCGAGGATTCAAGGCTTCGTGTCGGTCGGATCGGGTAAATTCAAAGAGTGGCAAACTCTGGCGTATGAAGCTACGACAGATCGAGTGAATGAACTTCCCAAAGAACAGATAGGACCATTGGTAGATCGCCCTACGTATGCCATCCCCAAAGACATCATGAAACGACCGTCTGTTGCTCTAAATGACATACCTCCAGCGGTCTCCATGGTAATGCGGAAAGCTGGCGACGGGGAATTGCAAAGGGTAGATACCGTTGTTACGGAAAAAAGAACGATTAACGGAGTCGGCTCGACTCCACTCGATGAAACAAATTAACGTCGATGGATAACGATCATGGGATCAAAACCGAGATCGCAATGAGAAAAGATCACGGGATCGAACAAGGAGGACAAGGCAATAGAATGTCTTCATTGGACATCGATCTTGCAGAAAACAGATCAGAAAACCAATTAGTCTGAGGAGACACAAGGTTCTGGGGAGGAGAAGTCGTCCAAGATCGACGTAACTGAGATCGCGGAAGCACCAGTCTGCTAGCACCAGAGTGGAGATTTGTTTGCTGAAGATATCGCACAGCATATGGCGGTGTTGCCCGATGTGTCGGCATCTACGGAAGAAGTTAGAATTGATGACATTTAGATCGGCGACCTTAACGTCTCTCTCACCACAGATCAACAAAAACTCAGACAGCCGATATGGAAGAGCCGTCACCTCCTTATCGGAAAAGGCAATGCTCTACAGCAAGCAGCACGAGGGGCGATCTGTGATGTAGATGTCGTTGGGGCTGCACCGATAGCACAAAGAGTCCGCCCGGTCGCGCCCAAATATAGGGAGAAGATACCGGAGCTCATCAAGGGGTTACTGGTAGCCAAGACCATTCAGCCATCCACGTCGCCTTGGGCGTCTCCGATAGTGGTGATCATCAAGAGAAATGGAATTGATATTTGCCTTTGCATTGATTATCGAAGGGTGAACAAGGTGACGTGGATGACGGTTTTACACCATGCCGCTGATCAGCGATCTGCTGGAATATTTGGATAAGGTTCTATATATGGTACTGCTCGTTAGATGTGGCCAGTGGATTTTGGGTTGACTGAGCGCGCGAAACTGATCTCAGCATTTGTCACGCCGATTGGCCTTTTCGAGTGGCTACGAATGCCCTTTGGACTTATGAATGCGTCCCAGATCTATCAACGTCTTTTTGATGACGCGCTGTATGGATATCGCAAGATCGGCCAGAGTTCAGCTTCGAAAAGCCAGATCGATGTATTCAAAAATGGAGAACCTGAAACAGATCGACGACCCATCATACTGGGACGGCGATCTTGCATTGACGATATTATCATACCCGCCACGTCTTGGGATTATTTGTACTCAAAAGTGGAACGACTGCTGGAAGCATGCGATAAGTGGAATCTGTCCATCAGTTTTACGAAGAGTTTTTGGGGGTGTCGTAAGGTCGATTATTTGGGGCATCGAGTGTCGATGGACGGTCTGGAGGATCTACCAAAAAACTTGGAAACGTTGGTCAACGCCCCGTTTCCTAGCACGCTGCGAGCTATGCAATCTTTTCTAGGGACCCTGAATTATTACCGGCGTTTAATTAAGGATTTTGCAGCGTACGTCGCTGTGTTATACGAGCTGCGGGAATCGGATTTCTTTGACATCGGTCGAGCTCAACTGGCATCAGGAGACGAATGCTTCAACGAGGGTCGATGGACGGAAGCTAAGGTTGCGTTCACGATGCTAAAGGCTAAGATAGCTACAGCTCCCATGCTTGAACATTTCGACCCGGATCGCCCTCCCGTAATCGTGGTCTACGCTAGCAAGTGGGCTGTCTCAGCGGCCCTGATACAGGAGTATGATGGCATGCATCATCCGGTGATGTTTACTAGCCGCACGCAAAAGCCTTACGAGCTTAACTACGGGACGGTGGAGAAGGAGGTGCTGGCGTTACTTCGTGTTTTGGATGTGTGCTATACCACACTAGCCTCACTAGAAATCACTGTGTTGAATCGGCACTCCACGTTAGCGTGGTTGATGCAATCTCGAGGGCTCAACAGGAGATTATGACGGTGGGCTGCTTTGCTGTCGAAATGGGCTATGGAGGTGAAGAAATGCGAAAGAGGAGAGGAAGAGATATTGGTTACGCTAGCAGCGAGTGTTACCCCGAGAGAAGAGATGGAAGAGATGCTGATCGCAATCTCACCGCGCAAGGACTGTCGACATTAGATATCAATGCCACCACCAACGGTGGAAGTAGATGAGAAGTTGCTGGTAGCCAGTTTCGATGGATCGGCAAGGATAAGGTAGGAAGGAGGTTCATTCAGTGCCGTGATATGGAGGCTTCCTGAGTGGACAATCGTGGCAGCGGAATCCAGATATGCTCTCGACCTGACCGTGAACGAAGCTGAGTATAATGGCTTGCTATCATGCTTCGAGATACTTGCCGATCTGGACAGGGGGCGAGTAATAATTTGTGGAGACTCCAATTTGGTCATCCGACAGATGCGCGGTGAGATCGACTGCAAGGCACCGGGCCTTCAACTTCTCAGGCGTAAAGCATTGGAGAATTTGCGATCGTGGACGAGTCACGTATTCTTGCATATGAAGCGAGAATGGAGCCAAAGTGCAGATCGACTGGCCAGCACAGCATCACAGAATGAAAAAGGAAGAACTATTGTAGCCGAAGAAGATCAGCAAGATCTAGATTGCTTTGAATCCCTTATATGAATTGTTGAAACCCAAGCAGACGGGTCAGCTTGCTCGAATAACGGCAATCACGAGATCGGCCGGGATGAGACGTCATCAGCCCGAAGTGTTACAGGAAGAGATGGTGCAGAGGATTAGGATTCGACATATTGGCCAAGCTCAAGATGAGAAGCGTTGGATTGTCAATCTTAGAAAATTTATAAATGGCGATGTCTCTAGGCTGGACGCAGGAGAAGTGAAGATGTGCGCGAACCTAGCGCCAGAGTACGAGATCGATGAGAACGATCTGCTTTTTTCTGCTCCACGGAGAAGAGAGAATCAGAAGATCGTGACGGTTTGATGCGTCTGGTGATCCCAGAGACGTTGCAACAGGGTTTGTTGCACCACTTCCACGCTAGTCTGGAAGGAGGCCATCAGGGTATTGGCAGGACATTGTCAAGGGATTAGATTGCGATTCTACTAAAAGGGCTGTATCGGAGTGTGCAACGATATGTGGGCGAATGTGCCGACTGTGAGACTGGAAAGGGATGTCCCACAGTTAATGGGAGATCGCCTGGCACTTTACAAGCGACCTATCCATTTCAGATTATCGCAATGAATCATATACCGTCGTTGCCCGAAACGCTCGCGGGGAATACAGAGCTACTCCTTTGGGTCGATCTCTTCTCAGGGTACGTAACCGCAAAAGCTAGCTCGTCACGGAGCGCACAAACGATCGCCAAAATTATGAAGAGTGTGTGTTCAGACGCTTCGGAGCTAGCGAAGCTATCAGAAGCGTCGGAACACACATTCTTTGTGTTTTTATGCGATCGTTTGTGCGCAAGTCCGACTACTTTCGAGCTTTTAGCCAGATCGTAAGACAAAAATAACGTGCCACCATGGCCTACCGACCACAAGCAAATGGAACGGCCGAACGAACGGTGCAAACCTTGACGCGGTCGCTCAAAAAGTACGTTACCGATGTCAACCAACGAGACTGGGATGAGTATGCTGAACGGCTCACCTTTGCGAATTACACCGCACAAGATTGGATCCGGGAGGATATACCATTCTATTTAATTCATGGGTGGGATCCGCGATCGACGTTGGAAGCTACGCTATCAGTGGGGAACACGAGAACAAGAGATCGCGATCCTGTAAGGTGGCGATGCAGCATCCGAAGACAATATGTATCAGCAAGCCCGATCTGCAGTGAACGATCCATTACAAACTGCAATCCAGTAGAGAGCGGATCGACACAATGAAGACCTGGAGCCACACGAAATCGAAGTGGGTACACAAGTTTGGCTATACCTGGATAGAGGCAAAGAATGATATGATAAAAAGCTAGCGAATATGTGGAATGATCCATTCCGAGTTTTGGACATGTGTGGAGGTCATGCTGTGAAATTGGAGATCGCTGGGACCCCAAATCGGCTACTTCCGATTGTACGTCCATCGAAGCTGAAGTAGGTAAAAACGTTTCCTGAACGGCTGAAAGAACAGCTTACGATAGATGAAGCAGATCGCTTGAACTTTGAAGAAGCTTTGTTGCCCGAGGATAGTTAAGAAAGGGGTCTCGATGAGGGAGAATATGAAGTAAAAGAAATATTGGACGTGCGATCTGGTCGGAAAACCCGGTATGGGAGAGTACATCGACAGTTTCTGGTGAGATGAAAGGGATATTCCTATCTCTGAGTTGGGTGGATGAGGCCGATCTGAGTTGTGGAGCTATCATGCAAGAGTTTGAGCGGAGCCGAGTGAGTCGGAACCGTTTTGAAGTGATGCAGTCTCACGAAGGCATGTCGGACAAAGCTTAACGGTCGAGGCAAATATGCTAGGAGGCAGCATATGCGGATGGATGGGTTGCAAGGTGTGCTAGGAGGTAGTACATGCTGATGGATGGGGTGGCAAGGTGTGCTAGGAGGTAATACATGCGGGTGGATGGAGCTATGTGGGTGAGTATGGAGACAGACCAGTGAATTACCGTACTAAATGACGTGGAGCGAGAAAGGATCGAGGTTTTGGAGGTTGAAAAGAATGAATTACCGAAGAAAACGATTGAAAACCATACAACACGGAGAAAGATGATCGGGCTCGAACACCGATCTGGAGCTAAGACAATGGAGCAGACTTGAACTTGTTCTGGAGACGAGAAATGTGCAATCCCGGATGGCCACAATAAGCGTTGCGGAATTGTTTCGCTAAGGATCCTCACGGTAGGCTATTTCCAAAGTCTCTAGCAGGTCGAATGGGTCGGCATAATGCCCTAATTCGGGATACCAAACTCTCTCTTTATGCGTGCGCGGGTTATGCAAAAAGAAGGGATCGAGCACGAAATCCAGATCGCAGTGGCCGTCGATCATGCCGCGGAGTATCGCCTTCCGAAAATTCTTTTAACGTGCTCCGAAACGAGATCGGCGCTGTTTTCGCTGACGCCAAACGTTAGCAGGAATCGATCAGATTATCGTTGAGCCTAAGAGATCGGGAAAGCGTGCGTGGACTCCCACAGCGCCTGGCGATGACTGGACTCCAACTCCACGTAACGAGTGCCCATTTCCCGATACCATCCAGTTAAGAAAAACGAGATCGGGTTCACGTGTATCACGATGGAATCCCAGGGAGATCGGGCGCATAGAGCCTCAATGTGCCGCCACGAGATTAGCCCAGACGCCCAAATCCCCGTAGGTGGAGCCCGTCCGTGAGAGTGGGAGGGGAATAAGAAATGCTTGGGCTTGGAGTAGTGGTGGAACAACAACTCAGTCGACATCGTCCTCACACAAACCATCGCGATCCGCGAGACTGACCGAGGGGCAATCTCAGAAGCTACCCGACAGGAAGGTGCCAAATAAATTGGGTACCAACCGATCCCGTGGATGCTAAAGTAATGGGAGATTGTTAAAGTCGGCAGTCGCGAGAATCCTGTTAGCCACCTGGTGCACCGGAATAGTGATGCTGTCGTCGCTATCGGACAAACGGCTGGCCGGGAGAGTAGTAACTTCATTTGGCGAACTAATAGATCCAATCTCGCTGGGTGCTTCCGGCAACGACATATCCACATCTCCAGAGTCATCATCATCTGGAATGTCAATTACAGGAGCATTCGCAACCGAAGTAGTCGAATAAGTGAGATAACGAGGCTCCGGCTCGTTCGGTGAATGCGGACGCGACAGTTCTTGGCCGAGCACAGTTGTCACGGACGGAGTGGAATCTGTTGGAGTAGATGCTGAGGGCTCGGGAGTTGCAGATCGGTCGTCCGATCTCGGTTGACGATGAGCGGCCGACCTGGATTGGGACATTACCGAACGCGTCAGATCATCCGAGCTAGAGTCAGACTCATTCAGCTCTCCACTTCCCGATCCAGTCTCAGAAGCCGCATACAGAGGTGGAGAAGAACAAGATATGGAGGAAGGCGCTGGTGTGGCCGATCTAGGAAGTTTCTTGGAGGGTGTTGTGAAGGTTCAACGATAATAATTGGGTACCCGCTCGGGTTACGGAAGAACCCCTGGACCGTGATCTCGGTTGAACACGCTGACGCTTGGCTGGCGGAACAGACGATCTCGGTCGGGTCTTACGGAAATGTGATCCCGCCCTCGGACGGCAGAAGCAGAGGTCGATCTCACCGGAGTAGCATCTCTGGGGGTCGGATTGGAGGTCACCCCAGACGACTGGGACCCGAGTATGGCATGTTAGGTGTGTCGGGAAGCGCACGATGTTCTGCCACGGCCTGATCCTGATCTTGCTCCGCCACCGCCAAGCCGTCGTATACCGCAAGATGTTCTGCAATCTGACGACGGAGGTTAGCATATTTGACCTGCGACTGTGTCAGCTTTCCAGCCAAAGGACCCAAGTAATCTACTTGCTGTATGAGATCGCCGATTGAAGTTAAGCTCTATTCGATCTCCGCTCGAGATCGACCCAGCTCCATCTTTAACTTGGAAACTTCCGCGCTGAGGACGGACTTGGCGGAGGCCAAATGGTCACGCTGCTGTCGGAGGATATTACGATCCGCCTGGAGTGAGCGGACCTGCACCTCCAAGGTGCCCATCTGCTGATCTAAGCGGGTCAGGTCTTGATCGCTGGCACGTAACAACTCGTTCAACCGAAGAATCGTCGCCGACTGATCGCGACCGGTCCGCAGAGCCAGCCGGCAGGCTTTTAAGGAATAAACGGCGTCAACTCATCAGACATGCATTAAATCGTACTGACGTTGAGCGGGAGAGACAAAGGGGGTGGCCGATCTATACAGAGAGTTGATCTCTTCCTGCAAGCGATCTCCTCGCGCAACAGCCTCTCGGTGTGACTGCTGAAGCGCGTGGATGGTATCCGCTTGGCTGCGGAAAGTGGCCTCTCTACCCATAAATACGTGATCGTCGCCAACGTAGAACGGATGTCTTCCGCGGAAACTCTCGCGACATGTTCGTTGATGTTAACAATTGGAGCGGACCCAGGAAGAGACCCACTAGTGGCCAGTTTGTCGGATCCAAATGCGCCAAGATGAGCTGACGATGTGAGAGGAGCGATCGACTCCGGAGGGCGGT